CAGACCCTTCACCAGCTCCATTGCCCTTCTCTGGCCCCGCTCCAGCACCTCAATGTCTCTCTTGCAGTGAGGGGCCCAGAACTGACACAGGATTCGAGGTGCACCCTCACCAGTGCCCAGTGCAGGGGGACGATCACTGCCCTGGCCCTGCTGCCACACTGGTGCTGATACAGGTCAGGATGCTGGTGGCTTCTTGGTTGCCTGGGCACAAGCTGCTCATGTTCAGCTCCATCAATCAGCACCACCAGGTCCTTTTCCACGAGCAGCTTTCCAGCCGCTCTGCCCCAAGCCTGGAGCATTCCATGGGGTTGTTGTGACCCAAATGCAGGACCCGGCACTTTGCCTTGTGGAACCTCATAGCACTGGTCATAGCCCATGGATCCAGCCTGAACAGATCCCTCTGCAGAGCCTTCCTACCGTCCAGCAGATCAACACTCCCACCCAACTTGGTGTCATCTGCTAACATCTACTCAACTGGGACATCTCCAGTTAGCCAGAGCTGCTGATACATGACGGAAAGTGGCTCAGTGAGCACTTCACCAGCTCCCTTAGTACCCTTGGGTGGATCCCATCCAGTCCCATAGCTTGTGTGTATTTACGTGGTGTAGGTGGTCACTGAACATTTCCCCTTGGATTATGGGGGTTTCATTCTGCTCCTCCTCCCTGTCTTTCAGCTCAGGGGGCTTGGTACCCTGGTCTTATTGTTAAAGATTGAGGCAAAGAAGGCATCAGGTACCTCAGGCTTTTCCTCATTTTTTGTCACTGTTTATCCCTGCATCCAATAAGGATGGAGATTCTCCTCAGCCCTGCTTCTGTTGCTCATGTATTTATAGGAACATTTTTAATTGTCTTCTATGGCAGTAGCCAGATTAAGCTGTAGTTGGGCTTTGGCCCTTCTGATTTTCTCCACGCATAATCTCATGACACCCTTGTAGTTTTCCTGAATTGCCTTCCCCTTCTCGCAAGGGTCATAAAACTCTCCTGAGTTCCAGCCAAAGCTCTCTGGTCAGCCAGGCCAGTCTTCTTCCCTGCTGGCTTTTGGAGATTTTCTTCTTGAAGAGTGTCGAGCCTACCTGGACAACTTGGCCCTTCAGGGCTGCCTCCTGAGGGACAGTGCTGCTGAGCACATGTTACCTAAGGAAAAAATGGTGTCTCAGATCACAAAAATTCAGAGATCTGCACTATGATGAAATGTAAGTTATTTGAGCCTTTCTGCTAGAAATTGGCGGCATCCCCAAAAAATGAGGAGGGGGAGTAGTTTACTTGACATCAAGAAGGTTTATTCTCTCATCTCTTGTCAATACCAGTTACAGAGTATTAATGATCATATCAGATGGAAAGCTACAAATCAAGTTTGACACATAATTATTTTTCTTCACGTGCTGCCTGTAAAGTATCCTGCTTTACAGACATCTGACTGCCTGCCTGAGTCTTTCCACTCAACACCTTCAGGAGGCTACTGAGCGCAGAGGGAACTTGACTTAAAGGCCAGATAGGAGAAGAAAAGGAAGTAAGTTATTCTATATGCTTTTCTGCAATGTCTCAGCATGTTATCAAAAGCCAAGAACTTCTGGGAAAGATGTCAAAGATGGAGTGACCATGGAGGAGGGGGGAATTTTCTGACTCAGACCCTTTGCTGGGCATCTACAGCACCACCGAAATACCTACATACTAAACAAGAGTAATTTGCAAAGATGTAGTAGCAGTACCACCCTATGTGATTTAGCAAACCCAATTACAGTTACACTTCAACAGATGACTCCAAATGCTGCTAAAAGACTTTATTAAAGACTACTAACAGTTCTCACAACAATGGCACGTATGATGATTCAAAATCATGACAAATAGCATGGAGTTTTGAAGAGCACTATTATAACACAGCATGGACAACAACAAAGCAGATGTGCCACCTCAGAGCTCTACGAGCAGGCCCATGAAATAGGAGTTATACAGCTGTACAAGTGTCAGAGAAAATAGAAAAAAAAAAAAAAGGTCATTCAATACACAGTCCTTAAATTTATTGACAGTATTACAGTACTTCATGGGCAAGGACTGGCTTGTTCCAGCTGCCCTTTCCAGAGCACAAGGGCAGCTGGAAATAGCAAAAATATATCCCCAAAGTATCCCCAAAACAATAGGAACCCTCTAACAAACATACCTCAGGCGCAATCTCTTCTCCAGACCTTCCTGCTTGTGAATTTTCAGTCAGAAATTCTGACCTCCCTGCTATCACTTTGCTCAGGAGAGTGTTTTGTTTTGCAAGAAAACAAAACCAGGATGCTTCTTTAAGACAGTGCAAAAATATTTTCAATGGTATAGTTAAATCACAGATTAATGACAAACAGCACAGATCAACTGCAGCACGGCCAACAGCGACTTCGAGATCAGAACCAAACGGACCTGCTGCTCTTTGACCAGCACTCCAGGCCAAATGCTTGCAGAGGGGAGACGTGTTGATCTCTCCCAAGCAAGCCATCATTTCTGGGTTCATAGTGAGGAATGGTCTCAGCTACTACAGGATAACAAAATGCTACAGAAAGCCTGCAAGTATTAAATTATCCAACCCTATGTCAAATAACTAATGAAAGAGTATCTAAGCGGAAAAAGTATATAGCAGCCATGCTATTTGTCATGGCTCTAATGTTGTTCCCTTCCTTACCGTGTCGGTCACGGTAGCCAAAGTGTGACTTGCGGAGTTCAGCAGCTTACAGCAACCCCGTGGTGATGCAGGATTCCCAGCAGCACGCGGGGATTTATATTCTCCGAGACACACAATCTAATTACAATAGCAGGGCAGCTGCAGTCTGCTCCTGCTGTATTGTCTTTGCAGCTTTTGGCTATGAGATCTTAGGCCCCTCTGCACTTGTCCCACTGATCCCACCCATGCTCACAGCAGCACATCCATGGTCATATTCATCCGGTGTGCATCTTCAGAGCAATTTGCAACTCATTTTGTAAGCAGACGTTGAGGTGTCTGCGTATCATATAGGGACATTGGTATAATCTGTGCCAGAACATCACCTGGCAGCTCCACAGTAGACAAATTCAATGAGAGAGAACTGTGATTTGCCAAAGCCCCAAATCATTCTTCTTCTCCCAATTTCCACACAGTTGTGTGTTTGTGTCATAGTGTGATTATGTAGAACCTTTTCAACATCTGCCAACTTCAGAGGATAAAATCACAGTGCTGCATATCAACAAAACCCAGCATACCCAGCCTCTAATATAAAATAATTTATATACACAAAGCAGAATTCGCATCGTAACAAGAGACTGTCTCATTCTCTACAGTGTCTTAACCCAGCTACTAAAAAATAACTAACTCGCATCAGCTTGATGGATTTGTTTCCTGTACAGCACACGTGCGCTATCAGAGCTGACAAAGACAACAAGAAAGAAACTTTTGTGATTCATAAAAGAGAATTGTTGAACACTTGCACATATTGGCACAAGGCAGAAGAGAAAAGGGAACATTACACAGCTCAGCTCAGGTGCCTTCCTCTGTGGAGCGGGACTCAGATTTCAACTTTACAAATTCTCTGGCAACTTCATCATTGGTTCTTTGAGAGAGAATCCTCAGGATTGTAAGTCCAGTCTCATCCATGTGAATCCTGCGTCCCAGGGGGCACCAGCAAGCACAGCTTCCTTTGTCTGCTATGTCTCTGAGCTGCATCACTGCTATCCCCAGCACCCGGTCCTCTCGAGCAAAGCAGTAGTCTTTCACACAGACCTGGAGCTCGTAGGCGTCGGGACCATCTTCATTCCCCAGTATGCTGAAAAACACACACAAGCTTACTTACAGTTTCTCAGCATGTATAAATTACTCTGCAAAATAAAGGTGTCAGCAGCTGACTAGAGCACTTTGATGAGCCACAGAAAACTCCTTTCTACAGAAAACCCTGGTCAGAGAGGGAGAAGTAAAAAAAGAACAAATATGGGTGGTTTTGTTGGTTTACAGCTGATACAGACAACCTGTCTAGTTAAAAAGAAAAAATGAACAACCCTTATCAAGTTGCCTTTGCATGTGTGTGTGTGTTAAACTGTGAAATAAGAGGAGCAGAGAACATTAAAGCCATGCTAATAGATTTTCAACTCAGATACTTTAAACTTTTCTGCTTCTGTTAAGGATTGCTTCATTTCAATAATTAATATCTTAATTAGATGAAGGCTTTTTTAAAAATTCAGAGCCTTCCATTAAAGCAAAAGCTAATAAAAATACATCCCCAATCCTTCTAATGCTTCTAAAATTAAAAGAATAATTTTAAAAGGGCAACAAAAATCCCTTCTCTTAGAGGAAGCCTGTCAAACAAAAATTTTATGTATGGTCTCTCTCCACTCTCCTCTGAGATGTTTACAGTCTTTTGCTGTTCATCTCTTCTCCTCTCATTCTTACTGTACAGCTGGGTGAGCATTACTCTGTAGCTCCCTTTGTCAAGCCTTCCAAGAATGAAGATGCCTTTGTAATAATGAAAGTCAAACAAGCAGAGTTCAAAACTTGGTGTTGAGAGGTACTGAAATTTTAGCAGTGCAACCTATTACCAGTTCCAAGGGCTGCATTCCTAGAAGCAAATTCAGACAGCCAGTCCCACAGGTCAAGTTAGGGTAAAAACACACATTAATTTTAAACAAACTAAAAATATATAATGAACTTTTAGCCTCAACTCTTACCAATAAAAGTTCATTAAAATGATGGAGCACAGTAAAGTAGGTTCAGTGCGCTTCAGAAGGTAGTCAAAGGATGCTGCTGATGCAAAACAGACCTCAGCATCCTACCCACATTTCCTGCCAAGACACTGAAGACTGGCCAAGCTACTGGTTCATGTACTCTTGTGGGCCCCAAGCAGGCTGTCTGTAGACTCTGGAAAACCTTCTCTGCCCTCTACATCTGCACTTGCCATGTCAGATCCCCAGGCTATTTTTCACACTTACAAGTGAAAGGTTTCATTGTATTTGGGAGCCCAGTTGTTGCTCTTTGACTTGGTTGTGAACTTCCTCTTCTTGTCACTCTGATGGGGCCCAATCATGGTAATTTCCACGAATGGACGGAACATGCCAGATGTCTGCCACTTCAGGTCGTTGGCAGCCACAACTGGAAAAGAGAGTCACAACCTGTTTTACAGTAAATATTCACTTGTTCCCATTGCTCTGGACACCTTTCTGGTCTGCTTCCCATTTCTTGTTTCAGAGGACAAAGTCCAACTCAAAGCTTGCCAGTGCCCCAAAACACATGGGCAGGACTTTTTTGTAATATAAAGACATACTTTTTTGCTCTAACTTAAGTTCTCTGATGGGCATTAAATGCTTGGGATAGCACTTAGCTTGTGCGCATGCATAGTCAAGAAATTAGTCCAAAAAACCAGGTATTCCCACAGCTCTGGGCAGGCTGCCCTGCCAGTTCAGTGCTTAGGTCTACATTACATGTGGAATGAGGAAAAAAAAGGTGGTGGTGGGCATTTTGGCAGACAATAGTAAAGTCTGTGATGAAAAGGAAAATGAGACTGCAGGTAAGACAAAGCCCATGAGCTGCAAGTGGTCCCAGAAGTCAGAATTATTAGCTCTTTAATTCTCATTCACTCTCTCAGGTCACTGCAGGGAACAGACTGAAGCATGGGAAATGGCTCTGAAAATCAGGTTTTACACTGCAGTGTAGGTTTAACCAGAACAGAGGCCTGAAGAGCTATTTATATAAATCTTTAGAGGAAACTAAAGTAGTTAAATATGCTGTATCCAAGCAAAGGAGATGAAGGAGGAAGAGGAAGCCTGGGATGAATCACTGCTTGGGTTATTTTCAGAGCAGCTCTTCAGGGACCAGCATGCTCTTCAGGATGGGGAAGAGGAGCTTCTGAACTTTACTGTCTCTGTTAATCTCCTGATTTACACTGAGCAGTTTTGCAGCATCACCCTGTCCTGCTGCCCCGTTCTCGGCAGCACAGGCTAAACTGTGGCGCCTGGTGAGAGGCATCATCTGATTTTTGTTTACTTCATACATCACTGCCAACAAACAACAGGACAGTACATTGCCCTGTCACTGGCTGGACAAGCTCATTTCCTGTTTCTCACCATGTTCCTGATGTAAAACAGAGAAAACAATTCTGGATTCACATCTCATGAGCTAACGCAGAAATATAATGACTGGCAACCGGAGATTTTCCCCAACACGGTTGCAGAGCCTGAGCAGCAACACATACCTTTCACCGTGACCTTGTGTTCACCAGTTCCAGGGTGGGTATACAGGTCAACCTGTATGGACACTTCCCCAACAGGATCATCCACACCAGAGCCTGTTGGAAGAAAATTGACACCTCCTGTGCACACATGAATTAACATTTATGGGCACTCGTCTCTGGTTTATGGCCTCAGCAAGACAACATAGTGTTTTCACAGTACACCCTCCATAGCCAGCTTTTCAATCAACACTGATAAGGTAACATTAATGCCAGATAACATCAGGCTTGCATGCCCAACACGCATAAATGCTAACATTTTTTGCACTCCACCATGAAGATCGCATCCTGTTGAGAACACTAGTAAGAATTTTAACAGAATTTAAAAGACCTAAAGCTCAACAAAGGACCCTCATAGAAAGCAAGGATTTTTCAGAGGTTCCTACCAAGCTACTGTGTGTACATGCAGGCATTCCATTTCCTGTCCATTCGGGGAAGAAGGGAGGATGAAAAAACCAACAAAACGAAAAAACCACACCAGAGAGGAAGTTTAGGAAAAAAAAGACAAAAGTGTTAGAGATTTGTATGGAGCCATTGTGCAGTCTCACTTTCCAGGAGCCTTTTTCCATATTGTACATCAGCTAAAAGTTGTTGCCCTGACTGCCTATGTGTTTCCCCTCGGAGGTTAATGAGAACCCCTTTGCTGTTGTGCACCAAAAAAGATGAGAGAGAAGCACTTGCAACTTGCATATTTATTTGCCTTCATCAATAAGTCAGGGAGAAAACAAGATGTAGCTTCACAGAGGAAAAGATAACATGTTGTAACAGAGGGAGAAGATTTCATGAACCTTACAATTTGTGTATCACAATGTTTTCAACCTTTTAAATTTTCATCATAATTATCAGGCAATATGTGGAAATGACATTTTTCTGGGTAGGGAAGTCAAGATGTCATGTAAACTACAGAAGATGGCTTTGCAAAATGAAAACTAAGCTTTGATAATAAGAGAGTGTGATTGATTTTGCTTTCTCTTTGATAGCTATCTGACCTCAGGTTGACAATTAGCAATGCTGTTGTAATTGGAATACCTACAGGGTAAGTGAGCACCAGCTAACAGCAATGTTATTTTGTCAATTTTGAGGCTCAGACATATTATTAACTGAAAGAATTGGTGTGTTTGAAATTGAAGATAAGGAGCTTGAAGGATAAATTAAATAAGCATTTTGATTAGATAGATGTAACAAGTCACCTTTAACAAGAATACTCTGCAGGCCACAAAAACCCCAGTCATTTAAAAACCAAGAGGTTGAGAGATAATCTGTGTAATTCTCTGAAGAGAATTACATGGCATGGAACTGCAGGCAGTGGAAGTCACATTAATATACAAGGATCTGAGCAACCAAAACAGAACTTCAAGTTACTGTCTTAGGGTAGATTCTCATTCTTGACCTGAGTACAACAGCCTCTATACTAACATTTGTATTGTTTTCTCCCTGCTTAGAAGGGCGGTGTTCCTTCTTTTCTGTATACAAGCACAGAGCTTTGACATTGGAAAGCTTAATTAGTGACTTGACCCACCTAGTAGTGCGGGTCTGTCATGCTGTTGGCATTTTCCATGAGTACAGACAAGATTATCAACAGTGTGTAACAACTTCATCAGGCTACATCTGCAGAAATATCAGCTGTCACTTAGGTCTTAATTACACTAAAGTTGTAATTGAGAGGTTATAAAGGAGACACTGATGCTTCACAGCAATGACAGTGGAATCACTGCATTACCTTTGAGCGAGTAAAAACATAGGTATTTTTTTCCACCTTCATTCTTGTCTTTTCATACAAAAATCTTGTTCTACTAACTGAAATATTCAGAGACAAAAAAACTCTTCGTAGACGGCCAGTGAAAAACATTCTGAGCTTGTACAACTGCATGGATACACACACTTGCACATTCAGTGATAAAGCGATTTAAATCGTGGCATGGAAGTCTTGCTGGTATTACAATACTGGAAAGTGAAACTGCAGAACTGAGCTCGTGCAATGGGTTATAGATGTATTTCACCTAAGATAACAGAAAGACTTTGGACAGCAAAAAATAAATTGAGAGATGAAACACAAGACTATTTAATTTTTTAGGGCTCTCCTGAGCACCCAGACTTTTAGTTACCCCCCTCTTCAAGCCAGATGATTCAAGCTCGGCCATAACTTTGAGTGCATATCAGACATGACCATGTATTACAGTAGCCCGTCTCAGCAGATTATATGCATGCAAGTTCAAGATTTGAAACAGCATTACGCAGCCCATGGTAAAGGGTAGGGAAACACATCTGTAGCATCTCTCAAAAAACAGTCAATTTTCAAGACAGCTTTCATATCCCATCAATAAATCTCAAGCTTAGGGACAGGCTCTCAGGCAAGGTACAGACTTCTAGATAGTGCAATCTGTGACTCTGTGGGATGCAAGCATTTGGTGAAGGTTCACTTCTACAAGGAGCTACGGGGAATGGGTCTCTGCAAAAGGTTTTTCTGAGCATGGGCAGGATGACTTCAAAAGCAAGGCAGTTGGGTAATGTTGTTATGGTAACAACATTAGTCTTGAACATACCCTTATCTGGAAGAACGTCCTCATTAGCGGTAAATCTAATACCTTTCCCATCATGCACTGAGACATGAATTCAAAAGGCAAGAAGTAAGCAGCGTAGAGAGAGAAGAGCATGAATTACAATCCAATTAGTGGTGCCACTTAAACAAATAGAAGACAAATATTCTAGCTCTTAATAAACAAAATATCCTCTTAGATCTTCAACATCAACATAGGCTGTGGAGAGCAAGGCTGTCTGCAAGTAAGGGACTGTTTGGTTAAATCAAGAACAGAATTTGTGCTGGCATAACTAAACTGCAAGCACTGACCCAACTTTGCAGAGCAAACATTTAACAGCATAGTGCTATAGAATCCTGCTCAGTAAGAAACGGAGGGCAATAGATACCTCACAAACTGGGAGACGTAACCATTGAGCAGTAAAGCATGAGACGCAAACAGTCAGCATTTAAATATTTCCACATGCAGCCCCCCATATGCTTGTGAGGAACTTGACTTATGCAAATCTCATCTGTCAGAGAGCTCTGGTAAGCAGATGCCAGCTGTAAATACCAGTCCCTTCTTCCCTCAAACCCATGTGCAGATCTCCAAACCAATCTACCAACTGGGGTTACTAAGGAAGTGTGTGCAGCCACAATCCCAGGGGCAAGTCATGCCTTTCTCAGATACATTCCATCATCGACCCTATAGAAATAAGGTGACGTAGCTGAAGTCTTTTGTAACCTAAACAAGATTCAAAACTCTCAAGCTACTAATGTAGAAGATGGTGATTTGGACTGGCTTAGATCCATTATGTGTCTCCTAAAGTGGCTCAGAACAGCCACAAAGAAATGTCATCAGTCAGCTATGAGATACAATGGATGACCTTGTAATGAGTGCATCCTATGTCCTAAAGCTGGAGCTTCACCCTTTCTAAGCTTCTTAAAAAAAAAAAGACCAAAACAAAACAAAACAAACAAAACCAACCCTACAACCCTACATACTTTGACCCTGTATATTCCTGATGCTCTTAGATTATGTTCAATTATCTTTGTGTATTTCATAAACACTCACCCTCAGTCAAGTTTTATAGTCACATCATGCATTACATGAAGCTGCTTCCTTATACCAGCTTTTAATTTGTCACTTTTCAGCTTCAACAGAGCATCTTCTTCCTCTAATTTTAAATGCTCCTGACTGTAGGATGGAGTGTAGAACAGCAGTGCTGCACATGTCCTTACATCTTGGCTCATCACAACAACATAACAGGACCCACATAAAAATCTAGCTTTAATTCATGGTCTGGATATACAATGAGAAACATTCACCATAGAACAGCAAAGATTGAAAACACACTGTGCACACAAGTTCCCCCTTAAAAGTGTAGCTCTAATGGCAACAACCAAGTTCCTGGAGACCCCTGTGGATGTAGCAGTCTTTGACCTGTCTGGCCACTGGATGTCATCGTTGCTCTGCTGGGACCCAGCCAGAGGACCACTCTCAAATGCAGGTACTGACTCTCTAAGTCCAGTGTTTTAATGCAGTATGTTTCAGCCTAAGCAAGAATATATTGTTCTGCTAAAGGCAAGGATGATTCAGTCCCTCAGAGCTGCACTCAACTTTCCACTTTAAAAACAAACCTTGTTTTGCTCAAGAACTCTCAGTGGTTTCTCCACTGGTTGGAGAATGCCAGTATTATGCACTCTCATTCCCACGAGGGAAAATTGTGTTGTCTTGAAAGTGCTTTCCCTGTGATTTAGGAATCAATGTGACACTATGCTGACAATAGTTACTACAGGTTGTGGGGTCAACAGGTCTTACAGGCTTGGAAAGACTGAAGGAGAAAGTACTCCAAGCAAAAAGATGGTAAAAAGACACCCCTATGGAGCTGAACTACTTTGCTGCTGAGATGTAGTGGTCCAATGCGAAAGCTTGTATTTAAACACCCTGCAAACCTAAACCACCAGTTTCAGTTTTGATCTAACCTCTAATAGCATCTGTCCCCTCTTCCTGAGGTCAGTAAGATTCAGTCAGCCAGTTACGGTCCCTGACTAGAGACCAAATTATTCTGTACAACAATCTCGAGATGTTTACATGAAAGCAACAAAACATAGAGACAATTAACTGTTTACCCCTTCCAGGTCAATGAAACAGCCCCACTCCCACAGCTTCCCAGAGAGCTAACAAGGGACTCCAGTAACCCAACCCAGTAGCTTATTAGTATGCTGTGGTGATTTGTAATCATCTAGCTCACACACACCCTGTACTGGCTGTGGAAAAATAGTGCTTTCGTTGCTCTCCTACGAGACTTTTCCATGTACAGGCAGCATGTAGCTCTGTGACTCATCACATCCCTGTCAATCAGGACTACACGGGCTGCTGGCAGAAGGCCTGTGACACAAGCACCAACTAGTTTCTATGGTGGTGTCTTGCTGAAATGGTTTCTCACACCACTGTGTAAGCTTCAGTACAGTAACTTCAATTTCACTTAAGTCACCCACCCACATTAATCCATGAAACGTGACTGTTAAGTGAGGACTGCAGAAAAAAGGACCACAAACACTCCAGGCCTTATGCTTCACAAATTTCTGCTCTCTCAAAATGTAGCTGAGTGGGAAATAACCCCCTTCTCGTCCACGCCTTCCCAGTTTCAAAAGCTCTGAACTGTCACGTTTCCAGAAACATTACTGCCAAAAGCACTCTACAAACTGGCAGTACAAGACAGAGTAATTACAAACAGAGCAGACAGCTCCATTCAACTTTGCCAACAACACAAAAGAGCCTTACCCTGAGCTGTCTGAGTCTGGACAAAGGTTTTGATGAGAGTGTCTGTGGTCTGAGTGTAGAGAGAGAGAGCATATCGAAGTGACTGCAGGTCTGGACTCTTCTCCAAGAAGGTTTTCTTCAGTCCATTCCCACCAGCATGGAAATATTGCTAAGAGTAAAAAGAAACAGGTAGAAAATGAGGACAAATTGCAACCAGCAACCAACATTTACATGCTACTGTGTGTGTGGATGGGAAAGAGCTGGAAAAATTCACAAAACAGATACTGTACTGGAAATGCAGCTCTTAAACCAACTGATACCAATGGCTCATGGCTTTCCTCTTCCAAAGCACTATATAAATATGCTGGCTCCCAGCATGTCAGTCACATAAGTCTACTCAGGTGTACACAAACATGGCAGTATCACTCATTTAGAGACTTCATCTCTGTCACAGCAGCAACAGACTCCTGCCATCTCCCGAACTGGCACAGACACTATCCTTCCAAATAATATTTGGTGATGGAGCAAGGGAATGACTAAGACAGAAATGGAATCACTTACTTTGATCGTATCCAGTGCCAGATCCAAAACAGCACACTGCTTTGGAGTGAGACTCCTAGTTTCTTCTCTCACCATATGATCCTGTGAACAACCATTATATTTGACATGAGCATGCTGACAGAAACTAAAGCAAAAGGAGCCCTCAGTATCATCATCTTCTCTGGATTCATGCTGTGGCATTAATTCATCTGTTTAAGGAACATTTAATTGAGTCTCTCAGAATCATTTATTATACCTTAACTTGAAAATAAACCCACTTTCTCTGTTTCTTGCAGCCACAGAAGAGAGAAATAAGGAAAGGAGCAGACAGAGGTAAGTGGTAATTTAAAATCAGTTTGTCTCTTAGACAACCCAAACAGGAGTTTGCCTGTACCCTGTCATTCTGGAGCAGCTGCAACAAAACTCTCAAAATACCACCTAAATCAACAAATTCTCAGAACCAGATATTGGGCAAAGCTGTTGTACGTTGTTTGTGGATTTTCTTAATTCTTCTACCTGCAAAGGTCAGTAATAAACCATTGGTGTAAAGGAAGAAAAACAAGAAGCATGTTCTAGAAAACCCCTTTGCTAAAAGAAGTTGTTCCCATTGAGACCCACCACTTCTAACAGCAAAGAGCCAGGAAACCCTTGGCAAGGAATTACTTTCCTTGCAGTGAGAATATACCCCTATCAGACTCCTGCCTGACCACAAGGATGTGCCATCCTTTGGTTTTTCACTAAGCTCTTTCTCTCTGATGCTTAGTCTGGCTCTCAGAGAAAACAGCACATTTCAGGAAGTCAAAAACCTATGCGCAAACCCAAAGTCTGTGTGAGCTGCTGTGGAGGGTCAGGCCAGATGACTGCAGCCTGTGTGCTGAGGTATTCACAGAAAAGATCCAGACAAATCAGGTAAAGGCTACTTATCTCTATTTTAAACATGTCATGGCCTCTGATACGAGATACTTTCCAGGAAACATGTCTACTAACTTGTTTTGAGTAAAGCATGCCTGCATGTGGCATCATGTGCACATTCCATGCTGATAAACCTTCTAGCTATCTGGCTATCTGGTGATTCTTCACATTGCCTCGTGCTGTTCCCATTCATTATCCACCTTGATCCATCTCCTGCCTGATGGAGACAGGTCTCACTGCAGTCTAGGTGCAGTGCCATCCTTCTGACAGACATCTAGCTAGCACCTTTGCACAGTGCTGCTTTAAACTGTACAGAAGATGTCTCTCGAGTCAGCAGTAACTCAGACAAGTTTGCACCATATTTTCTTGAGTACTAGAGACATGCCTCAACTTGCCTCCTTCCCACACACAGGATTCTCCTGGTCTGGGGACCTATGTGCAATGGCAGACTACTCTAAGCTGCAAGGGTTCTTCTGTTGCGACAAGCTGTCCTTAGGGGAGCAATAGCTCTCCCTCTTCTTTATGAGCTGCAAGTAACTCAATTGAAGATGATGTGGCTTCACACTTGAGTACACAGAGGGTAAAACATTCTTTTCTCTGTCTGACAGCCAGATTAAGAGCACAATCAGCCAAAGTCCAAGGCCATGTTCATGGGAGAAGCCAATTTAGACCGGGTAGCTGTGTCCCCAAGGCAGAGTGACTTTCATGTCTGCTGAAATTACTTTCTAGGTCTGCCTGCCAGATTCTCCACAATGTGATAGAAACCAGGTGGTCAGCATTTTTCTCTTTAAACACCTACACAACTCATTCAGCCCCACACTTTGAGTGGTCACACCAGCCAGTGCTCATGCTCTCAATGCACAGCAACACGTCACTGCTTTCTAAGAGAGCTTCCGAGTGCCATATATTTCAACACATTATGTAAAAATAACTAAGTGACTGGACTGGTAATGCCTGCACCTACACAGAGGAGCCCACAACTGTCATTCCCCTTCGTATCTGTCCTCTCCGAATCCCACACTGTTCCTAGAAAGGACAGCACAGACCCTGCACTTCCCAGATTGCCAGCCAGGAGCAAATCAAAAATGTTTATGTCAAATAATTATTAAATTTCAAGCAGAAGTAGTAAACCCCCACCCAAATTAAAACATCTTTTTCTGGTGTCTCAGACTCAGCCTTGTGTTCTCCACAGGTACCATCAGAAGAACTTCTGTGGTCAGAGTTATGCTGAGGCTGTGCAAGGGAGAAGAGGCAGCTGCTCCCTGCTCCAGCAGCTGGCTATTTATCAAACCGAGCAGAAAGAGTTTGATAATAAACGGGAGGCAGGTATGTGGCACCAAGGTGCCAGGTTTATGGTTGGTTTTCTGAGGGTTTTAAAATACACTGTAAAATTCACTTGCCATCAGGGCAAGAGCCTGTGCTTGCTGGGTCTTTCAGTCTCAGTTTTTCAGCTGAGTTATCTGATTCACAAGGCCTTTGTCACCCCTGTTCCACTTAAGACAAATAAAGCCTAAAATCCATCCCATAATTTTCCCAGGCTTTTAGTGGAACTGCAAAAGGCGCAGAGGAGGGGCCCTGCAGAGCCATTTACTCATGCCTTCCCCGTTAACTTGTATGTGCCTACAAAAACAAAAAGATAAATATATATATACATATATATAAAAATCTCCACAATGCTTACATAAACCCAAACAATTTACACTCTTGGAACACCTTTACTCTTCTGGAAATTTCTGGACACAATATTAGTTCACACCATCTGTCTGAACTAAATGTCTACAAATTCAGGTGGTAGAGTGCTTTCACACTATGTGGCTCTCTTGCCACATATAAAATCCTGTGTACCTGTGCTGTTGCAGTCCTTATATATGGATATGCAAAGAAAGGCTTGAACACACATCAGGGCTTGCCTGATTTGCATGATTACATGCATTTCTAATAATGCAGTCCAGAGTTATTGAGGTTGAGCTTTACAGTAACTTAAGCTGAGGATGATGGATGGCCTTCATGACCAAGTGCAAATGGAAACCAGCAAGTTTCCATCTTGTTCCTGGCAAAAGGCACTTTTTACATATTAAGAAATTCCAGTAATAAGAAATACATTAGAAGTAAAAGGTAACAGTGAATGTCACTGTCTATGCCCAAGAATACAAGCAAGCCACAGGAACTTGTAATCTGTGCACAAACTTCTGCTTGTAACCTAGAAGGAGAAACAGAGCAAATTCAGAGCTCTCCCCCTTTGATAGCAGGCATGCACACAGAAGGCAGGGATGGCTTCTCTTTCCCAAAATGCTGGGTTCTTGCTGATGTTTTTGAAAGGGGATGGGGATACTTACAGGAAAAGGGAGTCACATTTGGAGGCTGTGGTCCAGCTCGACTCTCCCAGGCTGGCTGCACAGCTCCTTGCTCCCTATTCCTCCAGTTGAAGTGACACAGAACATTCCAAGTGCAAGGAGTGGTGGAGACAGCGAAATCTTTGGGAGTCATCAGTTAGGACAGACTGGCAGTGGGAGTGCATGGGGCTGCCCACAGCACAAGTGACACAAGCTATTCCCCTGGGGAACCATACTCGAAGGTTTACCTCATGTCACTGTTAACTGCTATGTAACAGCCTCAAAACGCAGCAGGAGAAAATGATTCTGTGTGCATCTAATGACACACCTGCATGCCCAGATCACTTACTAGGATTGCTAATAAGCACTAAAATGAGTTATGCACTGTCCTGCCTCATAAACATGCATGCGAAGTATGGCTGCTGGGCAAGGGAAATAGTCCTCTACAGACAGCTGTAATAAGTGCACAAGACAAAAAAAAATATTATGAGAGAAGATGAATGCATTTTGAAATTGCACTAATCACTTTGGAGAATGCCCTTTGCTCTGGGAAGACTTCCCTGAACACACTCTGAGACAGAGTTCGCACTCAGCTCTGTCTTCCTTGCAGCAGTTTGTGCACTATGACACTTCAGATTTAGTGCTCCTCTTGCACAATACCTGTTCTGTAGCACAAACCAAACCACAACATAGTGCAATCTGAATGCTGTAAGGTGTCACTATTTTCATACCATTCCTGTTGTGACCACTGAATTAATGCTTGATTAGATGAGGTGGCGTGCACTTAGTAATGCTCATGTCACGTCATGCATTGTCAGAACACATCAATATAGCCTTCATGCTAATTGTCAGCTTGCCTGCAGAGAGCCCACTCAGAAGGAATTTACAGACACAGGCTCTCTTCCATAAGCAACAGCTATTTTTGTAGCAGTTCATATAATTCATTAATAGCTAGCACAATCATCTTTCTGACCAATTTCTCATTAATGAGATCACACAAGGGACTCCCTTTTATACATGGAGATACAGAGGAACTGGTCATATAACTTGATATTAAATATTCAAGGCTAGGCTGGAGGGGGTTTGGAGCAACCTGGTCTAGTGGAAGGTGTCCCTGACCATGGCAGGGGGTTGGAACTAGATGAGCTTTAAGGTCCCTTCCAACCCAAACTATTCTATGATTCTGTGAATTCTGCCTTTTTCATTTTAAATTGATATATACCAAATTGATCACTGTAGCTACAGTAGAAACTATTTTGACAATTAAACTCGCAATAAAATTTAACAGTTCAACACAATGCTAATGTTAGTAGAATGCATTTAAATGCACGTATAATGCGTTTAAAAGCATTTCTCTACAACTGCATTCAGCTGCAAACCACTAGAAGCACAGGACATGCTACATGCTACACTTTCATGCTTACACACACGGACATTAACAGAAGCCATGCAGAACAATACCTTCAGCTTTGACAAGTGTCCCAGTTCCTTAGCAGCACTGAAAATCAACTGTGTGCCCTGTGATTGCAAGAAGTTAGAAGAGAAAGGAGGGTGAAAAAAAGATCATAAACAAGCTTTGCATGTTTTTCCTTTGAGCAAGTCAAGTCAGTTCATAGCTAGAACTTTATATAACCACCCCAAGGCCAGTCACAACTCATCTCCTTGCCAGTTTATTACCTAATATAAAACCTGTCATTTCTGTGGATACCACATCAAGTGCTATTTTGGTGCACAATATCCTGCTAACTGGTTCACTCTTGCTTACAGCAGCCACCCATTTAAACAGGATGTGCCTTCAAATGAATGGTGCAGGCTAGGGGTGAAGGCAGAGCGCTGGCTTCATCTCTAAGTGCTTCTTTGGATTTCAAGTCTAAATATGCATGAAGACAGCTTAAGACTGGCCAAAGCAAAAGATCACACAACTGATGACAATCTCTCTATGGAAGTAGAGCCCAATCAGTGGGGTGGGAATTAGCATACATGAGATCAGAAACAAAACTGTGTGGCAAACAAAGTCCAGTGAAGAAGAATACAGCATTGCCTTTACATGCCAAAAGGTTGGCCAAAGGCTCTTCTTCCCCCACTGTGGCTTCCTCATGCTGTATGACCAATGAAGAAACAAAAAGGGAAGATAAATCCCAATGATGAGAAATCTTTCTTCAAGTCACTTACACTCTAGCATAATAGATTTTTACACACTTTCTCTGCGATGGTTACAATAAAGATATTTTTCTTCTTCCCCACTACATCATTTCTATGTTGTGTAATACACTTTCTGCTTGAGGAGTGAAGTCCAAAATTTAATGAGAAAATCAAAAGCAACCAAGACAACTCTCCAGTCTCATATCTTGTTGGGTGGGCTGGAATTTATTTTCTTCCACTTCACTCTTTTTCAAACATACAGTCTTACCTTTTTTCTTTAGCCACTTCCCATTACTCCACTTGGCATAAACCCCCAACCTTCTGTAATTCTGGCTATAAATTCTGCATCTATCATATCATGAAACTTTTCCCTCCACTTCGCCCTCTCAGGCTAGTCAGATGCTATACTTCCCCAGAATAAGTTACTTATTCCTGGAAAATATATGACAAAGCTCTGCAGACAGCTCTTATTCCAGGTGCATCTCTAGGGAATGAATCTGCGAACTAAATCTGGGCTTGGTCTTAGGTCCAAGACAAAGCTACAGGCGACCCCTCTTCCCCAATCAAACCTCCCCTCCATTATCTTTCTCAGGAAACCCTTCAGTATGTCAGGAGCACTGAGCTCTCATTGATGATCTTTGGCTCTCCCCGGTGTAATTGGTTATTAGGGGCTAGCATTAAAAGTACATGTCAATGTCACCAGAGGTGTCAGTTGAGAAGCGTCTGCAGGATGTCTCAGGTAAATACCTGAAATAAGCTTCCAGAGAGAGACACTGCTTGTGGCACTTTCCAGTAAGGTCTTTTTGCTCGGGAGAAGATGAAGCTCATCTTACTTGGGTACTGCTGGCTCCATGAGAACTGAGGACCACATTTCCCCAAAGGCCTCCAGCAAATCCAGTTTTCCTTTCCACAGCCCTCCTTCTCTCTCCTTTACTCCCCTTCTCATCTCAACAGCCTTTCACCATCCCACTTAACCACAACTACCATAACTACTCCCAACATCAAAATTCCTCAAACTGTAACGAAGCAAGATGTAAACCCAGAACTAATATATTGTTCTTTGCCCCTCCCTACGCCACTCAGCTTGGGGGTTTTTTGCTGCCTTCCTCAGTGTTTGTTTACTTGTTGCCTTTTAAGTCAGTACTCTGTGGAGCACGAACTACCCATACATGCATCTGTAGAGGAGAAGGAACTGGATTCAAGTGCAAAGATCACTGCTGAAATAATTCTTTTTTCCCTCTAGGATTTAAGTTAGCATCATCCCTGTTGATGGGTTCCCTTCAGCAAAAAAGTGTCATTACACCTGCTTCTAGAGGTAGCAGGCACCCTTTTACAGAAGGAAAGCAGGCAAACAGTTTACACATGTAACACTGCAAAGACCGAGACCCACTCTAGGGACACAGACACCCTCTGCCCATTACAACAGCAATCCAGAAGTGAATTTTTAGATGAGATACTTTTTCTTCAGTTTTTCCTGCTTCAGGAATTTCTTCAAATTGAAAAACTGTGACATGAAATCACAGACAATCTCTCGATTTGCTCAATCTGTAACCACCACCTAACTCTCACTGTTCAGCCTTATATGTTTTTTGAATACAAATAAACATAGAATGAACATTATTGACTTTGTACCTAAATAGAAACTCTTGATAATTGATTAAATTCACAACTTTGCGGGGGGGGGAGGGGTGAAGGGGTGAGGAGGGGAAAGCAGGAAAGTGCAGGCAAGGACAACGCACCCATAAAGGAAAGCTTCTGAGGTAAGACTGTCAGCTTCACTTGCTGCCAGTATCCAATGGGTAGTGCTAAAGAGTACAACTCTCTAAACTGAAAGAGTACAAAATTCTCTATTTCCAGCAAGAGAGGTTGAAGATGACTGCACACAGGATGAATACAGAGATTTCACTTTGGGCTACACCAAATACAGTGCCTGCTGTTCTGTATGACTAGTCACTGAGTTTGACTTACGTGTCTTAAAATTCAGGTTGTCACGCCTGTTGACCAAGTAGAAGACAAAAATTTAACATTTTTATAACCTGAATTTTGAAAAAGTGAGTAGTCTCAAAACCCACTAACATTAACTTTTTTTGATCCAGTATTTTCAGGGTTTATTGGACACCTTTTTCTTAATAAACATTTGAACAACAACATTAACCAGCCTTGGCATGTAGTCTCCCTGCTGCAGGCTTCTAAGGAGGGTAGGTGGGTAACACTGAGCAATACCCAGAGACTTGATACACTTCAAGGAACAAAGCTGCCCATAACTACTACTCAGTTCGTGCCCACTAAGAAAATCCTCATCGATTAGTGCCAATCTCTGTCAAGGTGTCTGCAAGGAGAAGTTATTTTACTGTTATACTGAGTTTGTCATCACTGCTGGTAACATCTAATGAAAATCTGGATTGCTCCTTCCTCTGCCAAATGGCATTCTTGTAAACAAGATGCTATACCTCCTCAAAAAAAAACCACCCCAAAAGTTACTTATGCATGGAAAACATATCACAAAGCTCTACAGACAACATTCATTCCAGGTGCAACCCTAGGGAATGAAAACAACTAAACTTAAATATCAGGTAGTTTTGAGAAAAGTTGCTCACAACAGGAATGATTCAAATGTCAAGGGTAGAATATAAGGAAAAAAGAAGTCCTTATTATAAACTGCGTCCTCGCTCTGTGGCAAACATATCTGAAAAGGGGACAGACATCAGTGCTGGTTTTCCTGGTTCTTCCCATGAAATTACTTTCGCCTTCCTTAACTTTTTGGAAACATAGAAGAGACCACAACACAACACAAAGATTTCAAATTCCTTGTTAATGGTCTGTTTTTCCCCCTTCAGAGAAAACATTTAGAGAAGGATCATCAGATGACTATTGCTAAAACGCACAACAAATACACTGGTTTATATTCCAAGAGGCTCAAACTCTCACAGCTTAACTGTCCTACTGCTCAGCAGACAAAATTAGGAAACAGAAGCTTGCTGCAAGTCTTTTGAAATCCAATCCTTTTTGGAAAACATATTATTACTCAGGCTGAGTACATACTGAGACATACCAATCCAACATAGTTTCATCTGGTACATTCCTTTCCCAGATTTTTTTAATTCCTACATTCAACAACAAGGATCATTTATGCTAATAAATGTGATCATTTATCAGCAGCATTTAAGTTCATTTAAAAAACTACCATCAGGCAACGTCTGCTACCACCCATTAAGACTATTTTTTAGCTGTTGGCTACTCTGTATTAAACTCTGAGGAAACAGGCTTACAAGTAGGGATGACAAAGGGAAAATAATTACCTGTCAGTACAGAGACCTGGGCACATGTGCTGTTCACAGACCACCATTTCATTTAAGGATAAGAAAGCTTCTTCTCCTCATCACAGAGGCAGCCTTGGACTTTCCTGTTCCTAGCTAGCACAAGGGGGAGGCTTCATTTACACTAATGCAAGTTAAGAAAGATTTCAGAAAATCTCTTAAAGCCTCGCTCTCCACCACCACCAAATAGGTATGGAGTGGTGCTTGCAGACGAGCCAGAAGAACAGCCAATTTGGAAGTCGTGTAAAATCTGTCCGCAGCTTCAAGAAAATTTTCATATCTTGGACCATGTTCTTTCTCATTTACTGAAGTCTGACAAGCAGAAAAAAGCACAGCAGAAGCAAGCACAAATGGAGCCTCACGTGAATGGCTGCAGTGTACTGTGTGAGATAAATAAAGGAGAGGCTCCAGAAGAATCATCTCTGTGTAAATTTAGCAACCTTTCACTGACCAGACTAGTCACTGATGGCATGCTATAGTTTTGTCCTAAGCAGCAAAGAAGAAAGAAATGCATAACTAATCCATTAATATCCTGGAGCGTTGTGCACAGAACCCCAAAATATAGATTCCCAGAGAGCTGTGTCTGCATATTCACTCACCCAAGACAGAGAGTGTTTAATTAAATGCTGATCTTTACTTAAAACTAGTGAGGTGTGAACTGCTCAGTGAGTTCCTGAAGATCATGTTGCTACTAATCTCACAACCCACAAGCAATCAATGCTGAGAGAGGTAGAAGCCTCATTTGAAAGTCATTAAGGGACCTGCAGCTCAGGTCATCAGGGTGGGATGTCAAACTGCCCCATCCCAATTGCATCCTTTGGGCAGTACCTGACTGCTTTCCCACCCTATACAAAACCTTCCAGAAGCAGCAGAGAATGGCAAAGCAGAGCTCAGACTTTCTTCCCTATGTGATACAGGCTGAGCTAATTTAGTCAGAATAGATGGTCTGGAGAGTAACAGGCATTAAAGCACTGTGCAGTGACAGCAATGCAAGCAACAAGTGAGACACACCGCGGAGTGTCAGGAACCCTCCACCCAAGAATGCTTTCCAAAACCACCATCAAAAATGCTTTTGCACCGCTACCAGTTTTACAGAAAGTAGAGCAAATATTCCATAAAAGGGACTCTTTCCTACCATGAATATCCTCTACTATTTAAGGCCTGCAGAGGAGTTTTAGGAGAAAAATTGCCAGTGGCCTTCAACCATGGAGAGGCAGCACTATGGTTTTTATTGCTGAGGGCTGAGGGTAAAGTGAGTTACGGTGTCTGGAGCTCCTTCTGAGTCTACTGTGCTCAGAACACTGCCAACCCTGAGTTTTGCACTGTCTTGTCCTGACACCCTTCACTGCTAAGGATGATGAAAATGTGGAGGTGACTGGATAAATCACTACATCTCAGGGGACAGCAGAAGCAACTCTCTGCTTTTGTAGCTCATCTAGCGCCTCACCACAGGTACACTGCTCAAGGACTGCAGACAAGGCCATTTTAATCATTGCATTGTTCACAAACACCTTTCTGAAATGGCAACTCTTTTCCAGTCTGGACTAGTTCAACCTCCTCACAATTGATCAGACAGCTGAAAATCCAGCTATAAGCATTCTTCATTATTTCAGACAGCTGAGGATGCACTTCATTACACAAAAATTGCTTCTCATTTTGCAACTGAAGTGATAGGAACAAAGACACTCTTTGTTAAAGAAAAAAAACATAAAAATCAAAGTGGCTTATAGCAACGTCCTGCAGGTTGGAAGAATTGGCTGATCACAGTTACTGCCTTCTTCATGATGCAAGCGCTGAATCAATCTCCCACTCTGCCTTTAAAATTCAAAACAAGCATATATAAAGCTCAGGCAGCTCCTCCCTGGTTCTCTCCAAGGCCCTTGATCTCAGTGCTTCAGTTCTGAAGGAGACATGTTAATGCTGCTCTTACATGATGATTTTATCACCTGTCCTCAAAGACTCCTTTTTACAGCAATTCAAATGAGAGAAAGAAATTTCATCCTCTCAAATTTAGATTTTTTTTTTCTCCTTTATAAATCAAAAAGGCAAGCAGAAATGATTACTCCAAATCTGAGCTCAGAGCAAGTAGTCTAGCAAATTACACCTCATGCTAATTTTATGCTTAGCAGGTACGACAGCACACTGCATCTCAGCAGTTTTGTTTAAAGCTGTCATCATCAGGGCCAGAGACAAAGGCCTTCCCTCTCAGAATAAGAAACACCTAGAGCAATATGCAGGTTTGCATCAGTTCTCTAGACATTGCAACCCAAGAAATCCACTCAAAATATGCAGGCAACTACTGAATAGGGAAAACACTACTGTTCTACCCATTCCTGGGGGAAAAAATACAATAGTATAAATAAGCCACAGACCAAAAGTTTACTCCAACACAGAGATGAAGAGAAGTTCTGGATCACCTCCAAACGAGGCTATAGCCCAAACTTCACACTGCCTCCAACTAAGTGTCATTCCCCAGAGCAGCTGGGCATGCATGACTGACATTTAAACAGTTTCTATGGTTTCTCAAAATTGGGGAAGAGTTAATCTTCCATTGTTAAAAGCATCACTACATTCATAACACACATTCATCCAGCACATCCACACAGCTGAACAATTATATAAAAGACTGCCTTTGAAGGCCAACTATCTGGACATGCTTCCAATTCCCCACCATCAGACACAGAAATCATGCCAGACTGCACCAACTTTAAAGCCTTCTGAGGGGCAAAATGGAGGGTTGTGTCATTAAAAAGCAAGCCTAAATTGACCACATTTTTACAGAGAGACACTTGAACAGATGACAATAATTAGGCAAAAGCATTTACAGGTGTTGATCTAATGCCATGAGGACAACATTAACTGCCCAATACACATACACAGCTCACACACATGCTGCCACACACACAGCTCTCTTTAAAGGAAAGCGAATCCCTAATAAATGTGATTTTATATACTTGATGGCAACTCCTTTTGGATCATGGATTTTTAATTGTTGGGTTCTTTTTTAGAGTACTCTGTATCTTGCAAACTTACTATAAATAGAGCTGTTCTCTTTCTTTACCAGGTTACAGACATATTTTTCCATCCTTGAGTAGGCTTCATGCAGGCAAATCTACCTGGACAGATGACTCATTAGGACAAGGAGATGAGTTACAACACTTTCTGCTATGAGTCAGGAAGAAGAAAATGCTTTACCGTATGGTCTGTCAGAGGAGGCAGCACAATCAGCTTCTCCATGGTATTCATTACTACCCTCCAGAGCTCTTTCAGCACCCGCTTCAACACTGTCTTTTCACACACGGTTGCGAACAGCGTCAGGCTGCAGGGAGAGAGAAAGAATCTAATAAGTTCAAGGAATGCGATTTACAGGGAACAGGAGATGTGTATGGGAGAATCAGTGCCCCATCCAAAGCAGATTGTCATAATGACTGCTTTAAGGGTAAAAATCTTCCCTTTTCATAAAGTACAGCCTGTCTTCACCCTTGGAGTTCTAGCACTGAAGATGTCTGGCCAAAATGGATTAATGGTATTTCTTGTGCCAATCATTTCTATTTATTCCTGGGATTACAGAAGGTATTGCAAAGTTATGATGGTTGGGAATATGTCACATACGACCTTTGAACTAGTTCCCTTGAAGAAGGTATTTCGTGATGTGTTCAGTTTACAGAGTATATAGGAAAAAATTACTAGCAAATATAGAAGAATAGGGTTTAAATTCAAGGGCTTATTATGATTTTTGTTAAATACCTAAACTAATACTTCCCAGACTCTTAGGCCGGAGTTCTTGCACAGCTTTTGACAGCTGCTGAAATCTCTAAATCTTCCACATCTATAACCACCCTGAAGCATTTCTTGGAATTCTCTGTATTTTGTGGCAATTGTATCCACCACCAATCATCTGCCATACATTTGTCCAGAGTTTTTTACATGCTTTAGTTATTCCTCCTTTGTTATTGTACAGACTACTAAAAAGGCCAAGAAATGTTAGATTCTTCTTTGAAATGATTGTTGGACTTTGGCATTTACTGATCACACTGGGCAAGCTACAAAACAGGAACTCTGCAGCCACTAGCAGTGCACAGGTGATAGCAGACTCTTCTGCATTGTGTTAACATCTTTTCCCAGGTTTCCCTTCTTCCCATAGCTGGTTAGACAGCAAATTAACAAAACAGGGACAAGACTGATGTGGATAGGATGCAGGAAACATCAAAAAACACTCTCCTTCTGGTAAGGATGAAAGAAAAAAACCCAGGCTCAGATTATTGTAACCAAAATGACTCCTCCACAGCTGCATGAAAGGTCTGTAGCATATCAAATTCCCAGTGATACAAAAGAAGGTGGTTTCTCAGGATTTGTGAAGGCATGCATGGAAAATGCTCAAATGTAAAACTCCTAGATCTAAAAATTGCTGCAGATAGTCACTTACTACATAGTGACCCAAAAGAAAGACAGGACAATCAATACAAAGAGCAACAAAAGAAACTGTATTTTAAACTCATAAAGCTTCACATTTCTCACACCATTTCTGATGAAAATTGCTGGCCACTTCTTTCAAAATAAAGAATTGCTGTGCATCAGCAAGATGTTTAACTTCTACAATGATTAAAAACTATTTTTCTTTGTAGTTCAAGGCTTAGCTGATGAGAATTATGTGCAGTTAGCCAAAAAAAGCCCCTGTACAGCTGAATCATACTGCATGGTGTTAATAGCAACAGTTAATTAAAGCAATGGATCAAGCTTATGAACATCACATAGTTCAGAAGCTCATTTTCTAGTCAGAATAGCACCATGTATGACTAGAACAAACACAGTTACATGACTGGGATACTGAGTAGTGTAACTACATGAGTAGTGTAACTATCAAGTGTATAACTATGGTTTGCAATAAGTTTGCTAATAGGATACAGTGCAATTTGTATAGGAGAAAAATATATTGCTAGTAAACTTAGAATTTCAGTCTTTCCCACTACCTGACCAGCAGCATGTTTTGCTGATTGCTATAATTGCCAGAGGGAGAAAGGAGAACAGAGTGTGCTCTGACACTGAATGAAGGCTGAAGAGGTGACCTATGGCTTGAGAGAGAGGCAGACACAGGAAGAAAAGCCATTAATTATTCCTGAAAATTCTGAGGCTGTACATCTCAAGAATATGAAGCTATTTTTCCTTGCCCCTTCCTGTTCCCAAGCTGATGCACTGTATGTGCAATATATATTTGAATACTCCCTTACTTTCCATCCAGGAAATCCATCAATGGCCTCAGGACATTATCTGCATCTTGTGCAACTGTGTTTCTGGCATTAGCAGCAACATTTCCTGTCCCTTTCACTTGACAGAGGATATCAGACATTTGCTTGACACACTCATCAATACGAGTCTGAAAGCTGAACAGATAGAAGAGACACAAAACCAAGATTATCAGTGGCACAGATCTCATCTCTAGAATATAAGGTAAAATATTGCAAATCCATAAACCATGCACTCACTTATACACTCTTCCTTCATGAGATTTGCTGCTCATTTCCTTACTGTATTTGTTACCAAGGAGCATGCTGTCCAGTTACTATGCCCATCATTCTCAGGCCGCCTACCACATCTGAACATGAGACACAATCACATTTGAGAGGAGTTTGTTCATTCACCTTGCAAAAAGAAATGTTCCTTTCCTGTTTTCAAGGAACAATGTTATTCTTTGCTCACAGCACTCTGTTGTATCTTTGCTTTCTACACAAGGTGTTACCACAGAGACTGGGGTGTCATATGGAACAAGGGCACAAGACACACATTCAGCAGTAATCTGGTAAGACCCATCATAAGATAAGTCTTTAAAACAACAGAGACAGCCTGAAGACAGGCACCAACTGAAACCAGTCCACTGCCATGCAATCTACGCTGTATCAAAGTGTCAAAATGGATGTGGAACTCAGCTGTGCAACGAGCAGTGACACTGTAATGAAGTGACATGCAAGGCATCAAAGCACAGTTATTTTTCCATCTTGTACTGCTAAAAGGATATTCAAAATGAAATAATATATGGTTAATAATGATGACTAGATCAGCACAGCTGTCAACATATCAACTCAGTGAATAAAGGAAAATACTTTGACATTTAAAAGAACAGTTACTAACAACAGGGATTATAAGTGACATTTAGCTATCCACTAACAGCACAGGGGTTTGAAATCAGGAAGAGAAGTCAGTGCTAGGAGCTAGGGTAAAGATTTACGAGCAGATACGCAGGTTTGGAAGTCACCTCTAGATCGGAATAAGTGGCATGAACTTCTGCTGTGTGAGTCACCTTGGACATCCTTGCGCTGGGTGCTAGCATAAACCCCTCTGCCCTGCAGATCTCACCTCCCTTCTCCACCCCATCAGTCACCTCTTTCCTCTCCTGCACTGCCACCTCCAGCCTCATGGTCCCTCTTGCTCACTTCTAGCCTGCCTCTCACCAGAGCAATTCCAGAGCTGTCTCCCAGCTTCCACTTTCTGCACTTCTAGAGGAGAGTGGCTTGCAGCAGTCAGTTGTAGCTACCATGACAGCATAACCAGAGGTGTAAGTCACATAAAATAGTACCAAGAATTTCCTGTACTGCTGACAGTGCCTGTTCTGTTACAGGTTAATCTCACCCCACAGTTCTCCCACATACTACATCAGTTGTAGGGCTCTTCTTTAAGATGCTGTAAACCCCAGCCAGGGGACGAAAAATAATAGAATCCCTTAAAACACAACAAATGAGACAAAATAGTGAAAAATGATAAATCCATTACTGTGGCAACAGGTTTGCTTGAAAGTGAAACTCTTACAGATGTAGAGTTCAACTGGAGCCCTTGGCAGCAGCATGTTAAAAGACAACCTTGCCTGTGCTGCCAGACAGAGCCTTCTGCTACCTAACCCACAGGAATTCCCTCCTTCACTCCTACAGCCACCAAGAACAAAACAGCAGCTACTGCATGTAGTATAAACCATCTTGAGGCTCCTTTTCTCTATGATATTCTTTAAAGCAGGAAAAGCTCCTGTGTCCAGACATAACCCTCTCTCAGCATAAGGGTGGTGAGGCTTTCCAGGTATGTGCTGCTTTCCCAGCAGGTGCAATGATCTCACATAGATGAAGAAACATTAAGATCTGCAGCTTCAGGTGCACACAGTGAGGCAGAACAACTGCTTACAGACTTTGCACAGAATATTGTGGATATCTGTCTTACCCCCCACATTTACCCCCCTTTAGAATATCTCAGTTATACAGTAAACCACAGCCCTGCTTTTCATTCCTTATTACTATAAAGGAATGACTGAAGCATCTGAGCCATCTGACTGGCTAAACCTCTTGCCAGCACATCTCTCTCAAACACTCCCTGCTATGTATGCTGATACTGGATAATCTCTTTAAATCATATTTGCAAACGTCAAGATTGTACCCTAATTGTCTTTAACAGTGCACCATGAAGACAGGTTTCAGATAACAAAAATCACCCCCTAATTACAATTTCTCTCTCATCCCCCATCTAATTATGAACCTTATCGATTCAATTCAGCTACAGTTTGAATTTCTCAATTTCTTGCTATAGCATCCATGGTAATGGGAACTTCTCTCTTATCTCCCTACTTAGCTCTGTGCGCTGAAACACAAATAGACGCTGACAAATCCCACAGTGATTTTTTTGGTCATAAGTACTGCAAATCTGTAGACTGTAGGAGGCCAAGTTGGTACAATTTGCTTTATTCCTCTTGCCCACGTTTCAGCTATACTACGGTTCATGCTTGCATTAATCTTGTTATAAAGCACAACTTAAAATGAATGGGGTTTATCTTGAAAAGTGGTTGGTTTTGAAGATCAGTTGGGAGCCCTGTATTTCTAGATTTTGCTTAACTGTTATCTTTCATGGTTCACTACAAAATTATTATGAAGTCAAGTACATTTTTACCCCCAGGTAAATGGTAACATGATTTGCAATAAAACTTAATTGCCATCAATTACTCTGGCAATACTTTAAAAAGCTCCTCCCTTTGAAACATCACAAAACACCATTCACTGCAACACAGGTCAATTTCAAATTCTAAACCTGTTTCATTCCTATTCTAATATTCATTTAACAATCAGAAATCAGTCAACTGTTTCATACACTTAGAGCACAATGTTTAAACGAGAACATTGCTCCATAAACGCTAAGCTGGAAACTGCTTTCTGAGCAATAAAGAAGCAGGCACTTCTGTTACTGACAAGCACTACTTACAGAAAAAAATCACTCTATGTAATTCAAATACATTTCACAGTTGAGAGATCTCCATGTCACATTTCTGGGGAAAGCAATACAGAAAGGAGAGACTTTATAAAACATTTCTCACTTCTTTAGATGGTCTTAGTATTTGAAAGACCGTGAATTTATGAGAAAAAGAAAAATATAATGCAGTTGACAGGAGTTCCTTTTCTCTTCGTAACCAGACAGAATGAGATTAGACAAAAGAAAGGAATGCTTCAAGGACAGGGACCTCGTTATACTCACCTGTTACCAAACACAGCACTCAGCTCATCCAAAACATTGTTCAGCTTCACCTGGAGTTCTTTGAGATGGTCACTTGCTTCTGCATCCAACTGTGGATGAAAGAAGAGCACTTAGCTTGAACTCAGAGGGCAGTCTGCTGTCCTTCACAGTGTTCTTCACTGTTGAGGCTACTCTGAATATGCAGGTGAACTAACACGACTGGACTCTGCTACCTAGGATGCTCTCCTCCACTGCCTGCTGCTGTTAGAGAAGCTGTGTAATCAGCAACAGGTATTTGCCAGTCTCCGATACCCTTTGACACCTTTACTGATATTTGTGAAGTTGAGAAAGAAAATGAACATGAACTCCCTGTGGCCAACAGAGAAAGCAGGCTGAGAAACCAAGCACTGTGCACTACCTTGGGCTCATGGGTCATTTCACTCCTCTAAGCACAGGAGGCAGGGCTTTTCAGACTGTATGTTACTTACTTGTGCATTTCTCCATTCACCATCTTGAAAGGTGCTACTCCACCTTCCACCTTGCTGTCAAGTGTTCAAACTGAAGACTGACTCAGAAGACCGGAGCCCAGCTATTTTGAAAACCTGGCCACAGCATCACAGCAGGAACTGTTGTGCACCGATCACTTTTGGAAAGCATAATCTTGGCTATGGGTATTGAGCACAAGTAACTCTACTCTCACATGGAGCAAGACAGCTTTTTGTATACAACTGTTCAGAGAAGACTTCACAAAACAATTGAAAAAGAGTGCTCCAAGTACTACATGGGTGTTGCTTGCCCAAAGCCACCTGGTTTTACATCCAGCAGTGCCCTGTATTCCACCTGTAGTCATCCCTCCAGCCTTGGAAGAGGCACTTTTGGGCAACTTACCTGTACATTTACATAAACCACATGTTTAATGCTTTGGGAATATTTGCTCTGAAAACGTAACTTGTAAAACAGATTTGCCTTTGTATGCAGGCAAGCAAGCTGCTTGTAAAACAAAACCCTTTCAGAAATGTTTGCATTTGGCATTCAGAGCTTCAGCCGTTACCTCTAAGGCAGAGCATCTATTTACAAGTGTAATGAGCCAGATGCCAGTACAGTGGTTAAAAATCAGTTTAGATTTTTACGGTATATCCACACATATAGGGTTTGACATGACAGGAGTTCCCAATTCTATATTCAGTACTGAAGCCCTCTTCATATTTGTCAGCATCTGTCAGAGAAAGCCAAGCCTTTAGGGATTTGGAATCTGATGTGTTCATTTTCCTGTTGTAAGCTGGCATGGAAAACTGACTTCATTAGGCATTTGAACTTGTGCTAACGAAACTCCTGGATCAGAATTTAAAAAATAATTAAAAAAACTCCAAGCAAATAATGATTTCTTTAAGCCTTATAACTTTCGGCATTGCTAGCTCTGATTATTTTTCCTTTATTAAAGTGAATCTGTATTCCTATTACTTTTGTAACTCCCTTGCTGTAAGAAGGCAGAAGGAGGCTAATGTGCCAATCACCAGTAATTCTAGCCAAGCTTTTAGGTAACAAAACAAAACCACCATCTGTTGGTGGTGGTTTGTCTTGCCCCTACATTAATCCTTCCCTTCTACCATGTAAAGGGACAACAAATCACAAGCCGTCTGGCTTGCTATCTAAAATTAATGGCACTGAACAGTCCTCTGATTTTGGCCCTTTTTGGATGGTTTGACGCAGGACCCACTCATGATTCATCAAAACATTTCAAGTAACTTCTTTTCCAGTTGGGAAAAAAAAAAGCCAGAAGAATTTGTCATATGACACCTATTCCTCACTATTTACTTCTACATCTTTATAAGCTATCATCAGATGCATAGTCTAGAGGATATCTGAGGTCAGGATCAACAACTTCTTGACGTTGTTCACAAACCATGCAATTAATGACTGACTTTACTGTGAGATGACATGGAGAGCTCACCAACTACCTCTAAGCTTCTCCTTCCTATTGTACTTGTTGACTGCAAACTGACTGCCCTGGGAGCAGGAGGGCTAATTGCTAGCCCTGAAAGAAGATAGGAAGAAGCTGGAACAATGCTTTTCTAAGGGGATGAGCTCCATTATCTGTGCAACTGGCAAGACAGCAACCCAGATTTAACTTTGAAGTGCCCAGCTTTCACCCTCAGGAAGCCAAACATGGGTGGTAACCATTCTGATTATGTATCGACCAAGTCCTCTGCCATCCTAGAAAGGCTGTTGTCTTCTGAGCAACTGCTACTATGGAAGGAGGAGTCCACATAATACATTACTGATCATTAAAGTTTTGGTATTAGCATGCTTTGAAAGTAAATTTCAGGGAACTACCTGAGTGTGATTTAAGTCCATTAGGAAGGTGCTGGTAAGCATGTACTAGTGTTTCACATGTATCAATTACATACCAGTTAGAGAGTCCCTGCAGAATGTGACAGAACTGCAAACAATTCTTTGGCAATAGAGTAAAGCACTGATAACAGTGCTCAAATGAAACAGTGTGTGTATGGCTGTTGCTGCTTAGCCAATGGATTCTATGCATATCAGCTACTGCTGATAGCAGGACATGCTACTTGGACTGCACAATAAATATGGCTGGAAAAGCAGGAAGCAGTGTTAGGCAATTGGGTCACTGCCATATGTCACGTCCAAACCATTTCTGTTGGAAGCTGGAGCTCAGCAGGCTTATGATCTCCATTTTGTGGGTGTATCAGTGATGATTCAGAGGAAGAAAGCTGATGAAAAGTTCTCTGTGCAAAACATGGGACAGTACCCACAGCGAGGTGGCTTCTGATCTCTGAGCCAGTGCATCAAATCCAGTGGAAATAATGGCTGGTGCAGGCACAGCTCTGTGGTTGAGACTAAACGTGTGATACAGAAAACTGGGGTGCATGCAAAGATGGAAAAGGTAACCCTGTGTTTACATTTCAGAGAAGAAAGCAAGGCCCTGTTAATTTCCTGAAAAGATTTGGGACTTGGCACTTCAGAGAATCTGAGCCTTGAAGACTCATACAAGCACATTCAAGGCTGGAACCTCAAGTTCTCTGCTAATCTGAATGGTGGCATTTACAGGATAGCATTATAAACTTCAATTTAGGTTGATCTTCTGCTTCAGTCATAGATGAAATGGAACCCTTGGGTCTTAGAATTTGCTGTGATGGGCTTCCAAGCTTTCCAAGAGACATCATGAGTCCTTCTTTGGTTTCTACATACATTGGTGTGTAACCAGAACTGGAGGGCTCACCTGTAGCTGGAGAAATACAGCTTTTAGCTTCTAGAAAGTTGAAGATATTAGTAAGTTCACATCTTAAAGCCAGAGAACCTGTGAAATCATCAGGTCTGATCTGACACGTCAGCAGTTAGAGATTTTTGCCCCACTTTCCTATTTTAGCTTTATGCAAGTTATAGAGTTCATGTGCCTGAGGCTTGAAGTTGCTGATTTTTGTTCTGTCCCCTTCCACTAGCCCCTGGGAGCTTCTCTCTGCAGAGGCAACTGTGAGGCAGGAGCCCAACAGATCCAGCCTCCCTTTAGGGACTCGTACTGAATTTTCATCCCCATTTTCCTGTAGGATTCAAGAGTAATCTGAAACACTGAATCATAGAATCATAGAACGGTTTGGGTTGGAAAGGATCTTAAGATAATCTAGTTCCAACTCCCTGCCATGGGCAGGGACACCACACACTAGACCATGTCACCCTGTCCAGCCTGGCTGAAAATCCAAACAACAGCTGACAGCTTCTCAAATACTAGGGTGGCTTTAGCTATGGCATGTGAGATGCTAAAGAGGAACCATCAATAGATACGGCAAATCCTTTGAGAACATTCCTGTCAAGCCTTGGCAGTTTCAAAGCAGTCCTGAAATTTGTTATTCGGGTGGCTAACTTAGGATTTAGAACATGGGCTAACCCTGGCTGAACATTAAGAGGACAGTTTTCTGAAGCATTAATTGTACAGATTAGCTTGGAACCGAAGGCATGAAAATTGTATGATGACAATCTGCTGCTACTCAGAAGCTAATTCTTTGGGTTCCTTAGGCAGTGCTTGTTTCTGATACTCACCTCACATGCCTGACATTGAGAAAAAAAAAGAAGTGCAGAAATGTATTAAACTAGGCTTCCATAACACATCCAGAGTCCAGCAGTGGGCAATGCAGTACAGCACCTTTTAACTTCAGTGCCATGAGTTCATAACTTATGAAAAGCAAAGCAAAATAATGGGTTGCAGAAAGCCATCTCTCTCAAGCAAAATGAGAAACGCTTGTTTTGCTGTCGGGGACAGTGTGCAGAGCACATTGAAGTCTGCAGGAGAACTGCAGAGGTGGGTAGAAAATGCAGGTCACATTAGGTTTTATTAGATAATGTATGAATAATTAAATGGGACCAAGTTCAGGCAAACACTAGCACTGAAATCTATATATCCCACTTCAGCACAGAGCTAAATTACAGTTTCCATTCCGTGGGTGTATTGGAGATTATTCAGAAGAAGAAAAGATTTCAAAAGGTATCAAGGACTCACACTGCAATTCCACTGTTCATTATGCTTTTAATGCTACCTGCCACTCCATAACCACTGGCTTTTCAAAACATGCTTTAGGAATGTCTGAGAATGCTACCGAAGCACAGTGAAGCTGTTTTGATCCCGTGAGATCAACACAGCTCAGAAGCGAAACAAAAGTATTAATTATAAATCCTAAAAAACATTTAAGATACCTTTTTCTGTATGTGCATGTGATACATATATGCTTTAAGATCTCAAGCACAGACCCAAGAGAATCCCACCACAGAGCTCTCTAAAGCTCTGCTGCTGTCATCTGACTAGTAATGTTCACAGGCACATGATGACAACACATTAAAACCAGACATGCTGGGTAACTTTTGCACTGTCTGTGCCTTCTAAGTACTACAGTTGGAAAAATCAGGGAGGGCAAAAGTACCGTTCCTCATCTGAGGAGGAAAAAAAAGGTAAAGGAATGCACCATAGCCAGGAGCCCAATCTCAAGAACCAGAACTTGTCAAGCACTTCTGTTCCACGCTATGCCATTACACTGCAGGATGACTACGGGCAAGCCCTGTCTCTTCATTTTCCTTGCTGCAAAAGGGAGTAAGTGATAATGGATTTCTGCGGGAGTGTGTTTTGGACCCACTGGCCATGAGCACTGGGTAGCAGAAGTATTTCAAAGCTTTCCAGAGCTGTGCAGTGCTACAGCTGCAGCTTTATATGGAGATGGATCTGTGAACCAGAAGCAGATGAAGCCACAAGCACACATTAACTCAAACCAATCCCCAGGGTCTGGCTTCACACATGGTACATCTAACTTACTGCCACAGGAACAACGGAATATTTGGTACCTAGTTCCCAACAAAACCTTTGAGAACAGAAAAAGGTGAACAGCTCCAGACAAGCAGGACATACTACTGTGCTATTTTCTTACTTCCCCAAGGAAGTAGTTCCTTTTTAAGCAGAGCAGTCAGGATAACACTTTTGTGCAAGCTACTGTGTGGTAAAACCCACAGATATATTTGCAGCACCATGTTTGCCTACATGTTCTATTTTCAAAGTTGTTGTTTCACCAATTGTTACTCAGTTTGAATCTGCATCATAAAAAGGGCTACTCAAACTAGGACAAGACCTCATTTACTCTAGCAAAACAGAGAACCTGGCAGGTTTCAAGTCAAGAAGCAAAGTACTACATAGTCACCAAGAGGGAAACCCCTGGGGATAGCAAATAACACAGGCACCTAACACAGCACAATTTATTTCTGGTGATCAGCAACAGCCTAATGAAGTGGACAATCAGCATTTGGAAAGAGAAGAAAAAAATCACTTCCAAAAAATAGCTTCCTACCATGTTTGTCAGATTTGTTCCTGCGAATTTTACTGCTCGCAGTTTGGGTTTCTCTCTCCTTTTCTTTTGACAGGAGAATTAGTGGATTCATTACATCTGTTCTACCTTACCTACACCTCCTGAGGAAGGTTTTGAAGGGCAGAATGCAGACAAGAGGTCTAGACTAGGAAAAGCAGTCATCAGCCTTGATAAATACTTTTTTTTCATCCTATATAACACTGTACCAGGTGGTATTTTCAATTTGAAATATAGGAAAACCCTACTTAATGGCCACCAGTAGGGAAAATAGTAGCAAATTGATTCCTCAGGGGAAAGTAAGTACATATGGATTATAACTTTATAAACCACTTCAAAAAAACATTTCATCACAAGCTTCTTTTTCCCTGAGAAAAATGAGCATTTATCTACCACTGCTATTACAGCTGGGTGCATATAATGCTAGTTCTTGATGCAGGGCTCAGAAATTGGGATTGTTCAGAAATTAGGATGCAATTTCATTCAGAAAATGAATCACATGTGAAAGAATGACAACAGTTTTTCCTTGCCTCATGGGGTAAATCTATTTGTTGAGATTTTTGCCACTTCATAGAATTCTGCCACTGAGCACAAGAAAGATGTAAGACAGCAATACAGGCAAAAACTGTGCTGCTCATCAGCAAAGCTGACTTTCCTCTTGGCATACAGGTCATAGCACAGGCTCTACCACAACACAAATAAAGAAAATGCACTTAGGCTTTGAAAATAATTTTTTCCTAACATCAGCATCAGCAGCTTTTTCTTCATCTTCCTGAATCTTGAAAAGCAAAGGAAAAAGAAGAGAAAAAAAAGGAAAAAAAAAGATACACAGATTATATCATAACGGAAACAGTGACCTGGGGGAAGAAAACCATATTTCTGTAAAAATGGCCACCTCAGGATAAATAGATACATGAGTACAGAACTCTTATTTGCATGTCTGCAATATATTAGATATTGGACATTTAATGCCAAAGGTTTCACATTTATATGCCATGTAAAATGATTCAATGTCAATGGTTCTCTGACCTGTCTTCAGAGTTGTGAAACCATCATACCCACATCCAGCCCATGTAATCACAGTATGTAGCCTTCTCTTTCCTACTCCCTGCTATTCTGTTCTTCAAAACATTTGCTCCTGTGTCTTATGACAAATTTAGCTGAGAAGTCTTCAGGCATGGCTGTCCCCTCACACTTATTATAGTGCCAGGTGTGACGGGGCTCTCCTTATGAGTGCAATCTTCAAAAACCAGTATGATGCAAGTAACCTAGTAACAGCACAGTGGAAATGAGTAATTCTCAGTCTCTTAGCGCTCTTACCTCTTTACCACCCATGGCTTCAAACATCTTCTCTAGCTGCACCCTCAGCTGTTGGACGTTATTCATAAGAATGCAGGGCTGAAGGGACAAAAGCAAGTGCCTGTTACTGCTCAGGATGAGGACATATTTTTACCAGTGGTATAGTTTGTGCCTCAACACCCTTCCCCAAGTACCACCAGACCTTAGAGTCAAACAGGAGACAGTATATGCAGAGATTTCAGCACAAGTCATTTTTTAATCCAGCTTGAAATGGGATAGCCAGTTCCAGAAACCCTAGATCAGGAGATCTCTGCTGTTGCTTCTTCCTCCTCAGCTTTATCAAAACCGAAGAATGAGCTGACATGAAATCGGTCTCAGGACAAGGTTTAACTCTCTGCAGCTCCAGTCGTGCTTTGCCAGAGACCAAGGTCTGTCACCTTCAGCCTCTTAATGCTGCAGTATGCTGTTGTGAGTGGTTTACACCCCAGATCAGAAGGGGAACTGCCAGCCAAAGCTGCTTCAAAGACATATCTGCATCCTGTCAGGCCAAGCCTGAGAGCAACAGTCAAGAGCAGCCTCAGCAACAGACTTCTCTCTGCAGTTACATCCCCAGTACAGGTGGGGGAGATAGCAAAACCAGCACGGGACAGACCCAAGGTTCAGAAATATCAGGCTCTGTTTTATTTAATACACAGATTTTTACTGAATTCAGGACTAAAGAGCAATTAGATGGACACAACAGTAAAGCAAGAGTGCTGCTGAGTACCAGATCAACAGAGCAAACTGTGGGGTTTTTTTTTTTATAATCACCTCTCTGTCACACAACCCAGAATGGCATAGTGGAAGTTAATTTTCAGGGAACCTGACAACTTCCAAGCTCTGAAGATCATCTTCCAGACCTAGTATTATTTTATGGCCAAGCCACAATTCAATATGCAAAAGGATATGAATGATGATAAAAACAATACTGAAAATATTCACACTATCAACACAGTCAGGTGCAATGTGAGAAACTTGGTTTTATCAGGACAATTACGTGATTCCTCAGGGCAGAAGGTCAGCACAACTCACCAGTTTCTCCTTGGAACAGTAAGACTGGAAGGTCTTGGAGAGGATGTCAGCATACTGCATCAGCACTTTCCCAATAGTCTGTGAAGATAAGATGTTATCACTATTACTTTTTCTCTATTACTGCAGGAGAACTCCAGGAAATAAAATGAAAAAAAAGAAAAACAACCATACTGTTTTGTATCCCACGGAGGGAAAATAAACAGATGGATGTTGAGGGTATTACCTTAGCAAACCTCCTATTATAATGAGCAACAATGACAGGGTCTGGGCACTCCAGCTTCTTAATGATCTCAAAGCTCTGATTGAGCTGGGTGAAGACATCCACCACTGAGCAAGAGAACAGAGCATGCTCGGATGTTTGCTGAAACTGAAACAGAAGTAGAAGGAGTCATTCTCAAAAGGAAAGCTCTGAAATACATCCATTTCATGGGTGTCCCCATCACCTGCTGTGTTCGAGGCAGGGCAACTTCACCAAAACCTACATTTTCCTCAGAATTAGTCCAAAACTCTCCAAAAGGCCCAGAGGAGCTAAATAGCCAGTTCTATCTGATTACAAGTTCACTGTCCTTCACCAACTATGACATGACAAGTATCAAGGAAATGTAGCATGACACTGAGACCTTTAATGTGCACAGCTTGCCTGTCAGTTAATGAGGAAAGATGGACAGAGTGAAGAGCTTTTTTTTAGATTTTCTTTAAATTTAAAAAGAATGCTTACATTAGCTGCACAGACTGCAGTGCCAACAGTCACCGAACAAATGGGAAAGCTCTTGCTCTCCATTGGGAATACTCAGCTAATTAAGAGTAAGATCAGTCTGTCAGTGGATTAAGGTCACTTTCTCACTGTGTGACTAAGTATGTGCAAAGTGCCTTACATTTCAATTACCTCTCATAAACAGAGGGAGATAAGAGAACACCTCCCTGTTAATCTGTCTGACAGATTAACATCAGTAGAACAGAACAGACATAAAGGAATTATATGCACCTTGCCATTAAATAGCTCTTTGTGACCTGTAGAGAAAAGTCCTAAAACAAACGAATTTCGCAGTTGTTCAGTAAGCAGAAAAAACTGCACCCTCCATTTCTGTGACAGCTGCATTTGCACTGCTGGTGTTTGGTCCTGGCCACTGAAAGATGTAGTGCCAAGTCCTCCACTCAGAATGACTTACGTACCCCATCTTTTTTGTCTCTCTCCAGAGCACCATGCAGGAATTCTAAGGAAACATCTTCATTTTCATCCAGCCACTGCATCACAAACTGTTCAAACCACCTGCAGGAGGGGAAGGAAAGACACTATGTTACAGCAAGTAACAGAGCAATCCAACCAGACTCAGACAGTGTTGCTGTTTCAGACAGCCTTGTGAAAGCTTGCCACTGTTAGATGTCTGAATGCTGTGGTCTGTGTCTGCAGCCAAAGTTCCCAAAAATACTCCTATTTGTATACAAGCTACCAATAAGCAGAGCCTGTACCATCATTGGACTGGACCAGCAGAACACAGCTTAGCCCAGTTTATGCAGACTGTTGGTCCTGAGCTGGTTTTGTCCTTTTGTCCAGACAGGACAAGGGAGACTTCCAAACCCACTGTCTGCACGCCAAGAGAGAGCGAGCTGTCCCACTGCCCATTTGGTGTACCATCTTTCATGTGAGAGCTGCAAATGAGTATAAAGGGAGGAAAAGAAGTGCCTGTTTTCCAGGGCCCTTCAGCCACTCTATCTGCAGATACAGACATATTTCTGGAGTGCCAGCGGGGAGAATCAAGGATAGAAGATTTCTCCACTTCAATCCTGCTCTTCTTTTCCCCAAGCCTTCTCTAGAACATCCTCTTTTCTCCATGGGCCACTGTTCTGACTGTGACGATGCTTGATTGAGATTGTCGATAGCACAGCACATCTGCTATGACTTTCAGTAGGCTGGCCAGCCCTCTAAGCATCTCTTAATTGTTTTCTTCTGAAGTGGCACAGAATTAGTTCATATTAAGTGCTGAACCAACAGCCTTGAAGCATGGTCAAGTGCCCAAAACAGGCAGCTCCTACAAAGTTTGTTTCTATTCTTCTCACTTAGAAGCATAGCTAAATTGTAGAGCAGAATCCAAGAAACTGTTGAAACAGACACTGCTGCACCTCAGGAAGATACCTTACATGAAGTAGTCAGGAAGACACCTTACATGAAGTAGTGTCTGAAGATGCCTCCTGCAGTGAACAAAAGGCTTCTATACAACTCCACTTTGGCCAAACAGGCAAGGTGAAAAGTGGCTTTAGCAATCTTCAGGGATCTTCCAGCCAGTCATCCCCCCTTGGGATATATTCCCATCGCACAAAAGAAGCAGGGAGCTGTCTGTGTTTAAGCAACAACATAGCACCTACGGCTTTATTTAAATGTCTTGTCCAGCATTTTTTGTGTGCAAGTCCCAACATAACCACAGCTGAAACAAATCTTAATTTCAAATATTACTAAACAGCATTCAGAAATAAGGGGGAGATGTGCCCATGTGTAATTTCAGTCCATACAAAAGATTATAATAGGAGATTCAGAGTACAGCCTCCTCTAAACAGGCAGCTGCGTTCATAGAGATTGTGCTAATTATGGGCTGAGTTTGCAAAGAACACGAAAGCCAGACATGAGAGAAAGAGCAAATTCACAGAGAATACTAGGTAGCCTTAAATACTCTCTACACTTCAAAATATAAAGAACATCAATGCTAATACTGGAAATAGTAAACTGACACAGTGTTAAATGCCAACAGCAACCTATCTGTGTAGCTCTATTTAATACAGACAGCAACAGTGGAACATTGTCACACATGGACTTCCTATATTATGGAAAAATTTCTTCTAAATGGCACTTTAGGCTCCTGAAAGTCAGCATAGTTTGAATTCTGCTGCAAGTTTCTTGAGCTTACAACATTTTGCTTTGAACTACAGTAGCGTATTTTAAAACAACAGCTTAATCCTTAGAGAACTCAAGCAGTACACAAGGAAGTAGCTACACATTATCTACCTGTTTCACAATTCCCAGGTTGGAAGTTGCTGACTGCTTCAGTGTCATAGGTCTACATACAGAGGAGATTACTTGTTTGTGCCAGACAGCCCAGTTTTCATTCTGAGAAGTAGAGCAACTTCCTGATTATCATTCATAAGAAAGGGCCATTTACTGCTGAGAATGGTCACTGCCCATTTGTATGGCTACCATATGCTGATACACAAAATCAAATGTGTAGGTATTTCACTATCTTACCAGATTGTCTAAACAAAGGTGACAAGGAAAAAGGCACTGCTGAGTGGCTGTTGGTGGTGGTGTGTTTGGTCTCCTTCCCATTGAAAAAAGCATTACCTCCGGAAAGAGGTTTAATATGAATGTTTAAGTGCAGAGTGAATAACTTATGTCAGGTCAGGAAATCCTGTAACTGATTTGCAAAGACAGCCTCAACTTTGTCTGGTTTTGGCTGGCAGGAAAACAGAAGAGATACAAGTAATGTATAAATATTTCTATCCCTGGGCACATTCAAGACCAAAATGTGTTTTAAGCTGTAACACAAACCCGAAGTTATCTTCAGCCAAATACTCCCCACAGTGTTTTACTATCAGGTCTTGGGCTGCTGAGCAAATGAGGGGGAATCTCTGAGGACTGTGAAGGTAACATATCCAAAATGATATTAAAAATTATCTAGCACAGAAACTAATAAAAACAATCTGATTTCATGCAGAAATAGCTTCAAAATGTTGTTATCTAGCAAATACCTTCTTCCTCATCTGCTTCAATTATTGATCTAGAAGCATACACCATAATGACTCATGCATCAGCACACAAAGCAGAGGCTCACGGTGCTGCTTCAGAGACACTCTGTGCTTGCAGGGGTCAGCACAGCCAACCTCTGTAAACGAGGTTTGCACAGAATACGCCTCAGTTCTGCCTGCTGGGAAAGGGAGCAGTGCTTTGTGACTAAATGGAAGTTTATCTCTGTTGGTTGCACAACAGTAATGTAATACAAAAGGCTTCAGTTTCAGCTTCGCCATGATCCTGGCTCCTGTGGTGTCAGTCTACAGGTGAATTAATCTTGTTCATTTGCTGTGTGGATGCATGTGGGTACCCAATGAACATCCTGTGGGCCTTGGCAAATGCAGAAGCAAGAAGGCAGGTAGGGGTTCAAAGAGTAAAAGAACAAATACTATGTTTGATGAAGTGAGCCAGAAAAGCAAGACAGGATTTCAAAGGAGGGTCTTCCCCCATCAGAGAGGAGGTAGCCTTCAGTACAGCTACAATACTAGCTGCATGCTAACATCCATATTAAAACAAAACACAAAACATTTACACATCTAAAAAGCTACAGTACTTTGGAAACTGACACTTCACATCTTTTAGCTGGCAGCTAAAAATGGAGTGAGGAAGTTTTTAAGATCCACTCCCAGCTACACTGCTACTTTAGTTTCACAAACTGCTGCTGAATTTCACAAGATAAGGGGAGTATAAAGCCTTCAGCTTCAACACTTTGGAGCCTTCACTTTACTCAATCATACCTCAAAGTTATCAGAAACATGGGTTCTCAAAGTTCCAACACAACAAGCAAGGCTGTGGATAGCCTCTTGTCTGCGGAGTAGATGAACAACTCAGTTTTTCACTGGACAGCAACAATTTAGTTTCATCTAAAGAGTTTACTGATGTGCAAACATGATGCATGGGCTCACTTGGTTTAAGGAAGCTTCAAGACTAAAAGTGCTTGTGATGAAGCAAATCAAAGGACAAGAGTGCATTGCTGTAATTGATACCTAGAGGCTATTTCTTGACAGGTGAAGGTTATGGTTGAAATAAACATCACCCATGTCTGCAATGTGGCTATTGTACTAAAACACAGAAGTGAAGTAACAAAGCCAGCAGCTGCACATGTACATGAGCACTGAAGCTCTACCAAAAAGGCCAGCAGAGCAGAACAGTCTGCAAAAGACTGCAGAACGAAACCAAGCATTATTATCCTGATTACACAAGAGAAAAAGAGAGATTAAGACTATCTGATGGCTTGCCTGAGACTACAGTGACTCAGAGGCGCAGCAAAGAGAACCGGGCTTCTGAGACTGTCACTCCAGCACCCTATTCACTGAGTTAATGCCTCTTGCTGACCTGATTTGTTAGGCAAGACCCATAGCCCAATTGCACCAACTGCCTGAAGTCTTAGTATGCAGCTAGCGCCAGACTTGAGGGACTGCATGCACCATAGGATGGAGAGAGAATTCAAAATGGCAATCTAGAAACACAGTCCAAGCAAGATGTTTTTTTTTCAAGAGGGGCATGTGCAAAATGCTGCATTTAGACCTCAGTGAACAGCCATATATCAGATGGGAAGAACAGCTAAGCAGGACACTGTTGAGGGTGCCTGGGGGATTGCCTGTGGCCCATTGGAAGCACCACTAGCCAACAATACCACTGAAGTAAAATAAAAAAGGCTGCTATCTATCCAGCGTGTGAGAGCGGCAGCACCGCCTGCAAGGCAAGGTCTAGATGAAACATCATTATTTAAGTCTGGGTGGTTTAAATCCAGACACAGACTGGATGCAAAGAGGCAAGAAAACTTCACTTACAAGGAAAGCTGGGAACAAATGGGAACCAGCAGAAGACTGGGAAGGGGACATGAGAAGAGCATTTTACTCTTGTAAAAGAGGAACAAGTTGTTCTTCATGCCCACACTGGTAGAACAGGATAACAAGCTCAAATGAAAGCATGGAAGATTTGGAGGGGGAAAAAAGGGATTGTGTTAAACCTCCAAAACCCAGTGGAAGGTTAACAGTGAAGCACAGGGAAAAAACTGCTTCAAGGAAATGTGGAGCAACCATCACTGAAAGCCTCTGAAAACCAATTAAACACTGGTCAGAAACAACACACCAGCTCTTGCCTTAAGCCAAGCGTGGGATTCTAGCTACAGTATTCTCTCCAGGCTGCTCAGAAAACATTGGGCTCATAAACCTTTTTCAGGTCTGAAATCTACTGCTGCTCTCTTAAAGTTAAGTAAAAGTTGCAAACAGTTGCTTAGAGCTTAAGAACAACAGCTTATCTGATTTTTACAACTAACCCTCCTGGTCTTAATTAAAAAAAAACCCAAAAACAAAAAACCCCAACCAAACAACAAAACCAGAAAAAAAAACCCCCAACATTATCTTTACTTACAAATCCTGTTGTGTGTGTATACATATGACATTCATACACAGAGACATACATACAGTACATACAGATAAAGCTGTGTCTATGAACAGAAGAATGTAAGCTTACATCCAGAAGTCTGCTGTTCAAGAATTGACCAAAGCCCACAGTGTAGGCATGAAGTAGTTTAAAGACTGTCCTTGACATTGCTAAAGCTTTTGATATCTTGGGAGATACTGTACAATAAGGGATTGAATTATGACAGTGACAGTGGTACAGAACACCAGAGGGGACAAACATGCACACAAACACAGAAAATCAGGAGTGAAGAAATGGTGTATCATGAAGGCAGCCACAGGAGAAAACCAAATTACTATCCTCAAGGTAAAGGAGACAGATTGTGGGGATTTACTACTTAAATCTTAGTAACACACTCACGCTGGATATTCAGGCACTTTTCCCTTGAAGGCAGGCAGATCACGAACATATTCATTGTACAGCCACTTCACTTTGAAGTGTAGATTCATATAGTCTGCACTTTTACACAGTCTGTGTTTCTCATGTTCTGTAAGGAAAACAAAAGGAATTAGGTCTGAATTTACCATTATCACTGCATCATGCACAAGAGTGTCTTATAAAGCATGTCCACAGAATGCAACGGTTTTGAGGGTGAAGCACCTACAGAGCCACAAAATCTTCACAACACAAGATTCTGGCAGCAGGCAGGGGTTCTTGGTGGTTGACTGTTCAGGCTCTGGAGTCTATTTCTGTAGCTCCAATTAATACTTCCATTTGTTGAAGACTTTTTGGCTTTCAAAGCAATAAAAATAGAACATTCTTAAGCATTTAACACATGACATTCCAGATTTCACCTTTGCAGGGAACAAATCAAGGAGAGCAAATCTGTTCATTCTCGGATATAAAGTAAGGCAGTATCAACATGTTACACTTCATCCCCCAAGAGACAAGAGTAGAGAGCATCAAGTTCTTTAGAGTTTGACAGTGTGAGTCACAAGCAAGTACAAATGAGCTACACAGGAGCTGGAGCCTTCCCTGATCCCCAGTTTGGAGAAATTCATGGCACTTCTCTTCCAGAAGACAAAAGTTTTCTTATTTGTATTGCCTTCCTGAGCACAGTCCACTGAAGTGACCCGTGGATATCTACCTGCTGTTAAGCCTCCTCTCCTGCCAGGTTTCATTATGGTTTTGTACCCAGGCGATGCTGGGACAATGTTGTTCCTCCCTGTGTAACAAACATGACCTTTCCCACACACCTCTGCTGCTGAAGCGCTTGCCATACTCAGACCCATGTTTCTGCAGAGATCATGCTCCTAGGCCACTGCTCACCTTCCCCTCTCACAAGAAATGTATGCTCCATGTCTTTGCCCTCAAGACCTTTCACAGCCTACGCCCATACTACCATCATTCAGCAGCTGACTGCCACCTCAGAGTAGCCCACAATCCCTGACGGTGAGCTACTTAAGTTCTCCCAAACAATCTCAATGCTTTCTCCCAAGCCACCCCTCATTTGCTTATATAGGCAGCTCCTACTGCACTGCTTTTCTTCAAAATCCTCTTTGAAAAGAAAAAAAGAATTCCTTTTTCATGATGCTAAGGGGACTCAGCAGCTTGCTTTTGCCTGCACTGTGATCCTGAATTATCAGGTGTCCAATTCTACCACCCCCTACTGCCGCCTGTCCATATCCATCTCTTTCTTCTGCCAAGTTTCAACAACATGAATACACTTTGTGCCAGGCTTCTTTGTTCACTCTAGCACCGCAGCAAGCTCCTAGTCCACAGCTACAGTGTGAGATACGAGACTAAAATACACATTATTTTGATTTAGACATATTTTTTTCCCCAAAATAATTTGACATTAGACTAATCCTTCTACCTTTTATAGGGTTACCTCATTATTGATGGAGCTTTCCAGCAGCATCACTACTGATGTGTAGACAGGATCCAACTATGTTAAAAGGTGGAAATCTTTGAATGACTTTTATCTAGGGCTTCAATACAAGTATCCGGTAACTGGGTAGATATATGCACATGCAAGCAATACATGCTGCAGATATTCACCAGCAGAAGATACATCCTAATGATGCAAAATGGCTCCAGCTTTCTACCTGACAGACAAGCTTATCTTACAATATCATCATCTATTTTCATGTAAATATGAATTCTCATAACAATTTCAAACCATTAAAAAACTTCCACATCTCTCTCAGCTCCAAAAACATGCGCAAGAAGAAAGGCCAAATAAATTAGGAATTATCCAACCGAAAACACAAGAAACAAAGAACTTTACATGCATACTTATTCCGCAAGCCTTGTCAATATTCAAACAGTGGAACGCTTCAGTGAGCTGTTTGCAAACCTCTAACAGTGTAATACAGATTTCCTTCTTCACCATGTAGCAGATACAATATCAAAAAAAACCCAAACACACCCAACCTCTGCTTTAAAGAAATTAAAACACCCATTATCCAAGACACACAGTCTCCAGAGGTGATGGTTTGATGGACAAATTACATGTGCTACTGTTTCACAGGTACTGTGATCCATTGCTCTTCACAGCAAATTTGCTTGTACTGGAGAATGTATAACATTCTTGCTATACATTAATAAATCTAGTATCTTTCTGGAGCACTAAGGAAGTATATGGGAATACCCAGTGTCTGAACTGCTGATCTTCCTCCAGAATAACTGCAGAAGAAAATGCAGAGCTCTCTGCACATCTCAGACTGGAAACAAACACAGCAATAATCATGCCTGCTTAGCTCCCTGTGACAGCAAGGAAATCAATGGACAATTACAACTTCATTAACTTTGACATGTGCTGACACCCAGGTGCTGTTCCCACATGAGGAAAGCGCTATCCCTGCAGAAGGAAGGTCTGGCTTGGAGGTAAAAAGAACTCAGATTTATTTCCTCAGAAGTAAGCAGTGCACTAAGAGCAACTAATTCAAGCCTTTCCTGGGGTTTACAACATTCAAAAGGCTATTAAGTTGCAGAAGAGGAAGATACAAAGCAGCCACAGAAGTGTAAGCCCACAGACTGCTACTGGGACTACCTAGCCATCTAAACAGTAAAGGAGAGGCTTGACACCAAGGGAATAAAACTACAGGAACGTAGAAGAAAGAAGGAGAAGTCTTACCACCATAAAAGAGAACTTTACGTATGCGGAAGAAAGGTGGGGCTTGTGACAGAAAAAAGACAAAAGTGAACTATAACAGCTCAAACATGCTGGAGGACAAAGAAAGCAAACAAAGCCACAAAGCCCCTTCATCCCAAACATCTCGTTCCATCTGCCTTCCCCCTTCGATAGACCCTGCACAGTCTGATCAGCTGCATTCTTTGTAAAGGGAAATCTTAAAGAGCACTTGAAGGCGAGATGGAAACACAGCAGCCAGAGGTATACTTTGAAAACCCATTTTGGATAAAAGTAAAATGAAGAGCACAGGAGCCATCAGTCTTAGCACATTTCTGTTCTGCTTTATAACCTGCTGGCTTTTGAAGAGCTTAGTGGCAGCAACAGTGAAAGAGTGCACAGGTATTTTGCAGCAGCTGCTGTGTTTTACCCTGAAAAGACCACAAGAGTTCTGCAAGTCCCTCACACTTCCTCAGCAGATTTCATCTGCAAACAGCCTCCTCCAGAGAAGAGCTTCTAGGGTCACTGAGGCCATATTATTAACACATTGATAGGGAACTGCTTCCTAGCAGCACACTTTCTAATGTCATGTCCAGTTTTAATTTTCAGGCAGAGAACAGGACTTCCTTAATCTACCACATCCTTAATCCATGGTTGGTTTTTTTTTCTTGATTGTTAGCCTACTTTCCATGGGTTAATTTCTAGCTAATAGTACCAAATTTCTGCAAATAAAATCTATAGGTACTGAGGCTGCCAAAGCATTAACACTTTAGACAGCTGGCATCTGTCCATGCATCTGATTCCCCTCCACTTACTAGAAGTGAGAATGTGGCAGAAAGATTTATTACAATCCAGCTCACCAGCTCTACTCAGTCTCTCTTCCTACCAGAGATGCTTCCAGTTTGCAACTCTCCTAATGGTGATATGTCCAAACTAAGACTAAACGTTGCTGTCAAGGATGACCTTGATTTTCTATTACTGTCTTCTACTAAAGAAAGGGCAGAAGCCCTCTTTGCTCAGGGTATTTGTGTTTTCTGGGTTGCAGAAGTTTCACAGATGACAATAAAGAACTAGTAACCCCCATTACCAGTGGACTCACAAGAAGACTATCAAGCACCAGTCAGCATCCCAGAGGTGGAGCTAACTGTATGACTTGTAAAAAACATCCTCTACACTATTGTGACTCCAGGGTAGAATGATCTTCCCAGCCAAGTCTGGGCCATACAACATGTGTATCCCATCTGTTTTAATCTCAGGTTGATAGGGAAAAAGGGACACTTCTCGATGCCTCATTGTATACTGCCTTGCCAGTAAGAAGGGAAGGGCCAGTCTGCTGTTCACGGTACCCTGAGCTGTCACTGCTTTGGGGGAAAAAGTAAAAACCAAGTAGGGTAGATCTTGGGAGTTTCTGCTGTGTCTCAGAAGCTGAGTCTCCTTAGAGGAGATGAAGGCATAACATAGGTCTGCCATGCACTTGCCTTCCAGCAGACAAACACACTGCTGCTGTGACTACTGCTAACAGCTGCTGAAATAGAAAATAGGTGTTTTGCTCTCCATTTCTGCAGCAGCAGTGTGGTCGTCCAAGTCATCTTTGCAGATCTGCTCATCAGTGTCATAAAACTACAGGACTAACACTAATATTAGCAACTACATACAAAGTACTAAAACTATGGGTAACAGATGAAGGTCTTTGCCTACTCGCAACTATAAACTCTACCAAGATGCACAAACTTACCACTTGGTGAGATGAATGAGCTCATGTTATCTAGAACTTAGGAACAGAACATCAGGGAAAACACCATGAAGAAAGTTAGACGCAAGAGTTATACTCTGAGTTCATATGCACATATATCCACAAAGCAATTAGCTTTTGTTGCAGAGAGCTCCTGATGCATACAGATTTTTGAGCACACCAGAAACATACCCACAGATTACTCCACGAACTGAGAAATGACAGAGGCAAGAGCTGAGGACAGCGAATCTAATCATCATCCTTCACATGGGTTAATCTGTCTCCTTTAATCCCTCTTATCCCCTCATTAAAAATAAATAAATAAATGCAGCGAGCTAATCTAATCATCTGTATTTAAAACACTTGTAGTAAGGCCTGTAATTGAATTATTGTATAGCTTGTTCTAAAGATTCTATTCCTAAGTTTATGAGAGCAAAGCAGTGAGGAATCATGTTCACATCAAACAGAATTCTGCACTCTGAGGATTTCTTTAAAATATATTTGGAAGAGATACACACCAACACAGACTCTACCATTGTTCAATCCTCCTGCAGGACTTGCACAGCTGGAGCACAGATACATATACCACACAGTTTTTCAGCTTTCATTCAAAAGGCAAACCCTTCCCTGCCCATCAGCTGCCTCTGTCTCAACTTTTCTCACCACAAAATACTTTGAATAAGGATACTCTTTCAGGAAGTATCTGCTATGGGCTGGTGAACTCATGGGTGGAAAAGTTCTAACAATACTTGCTTTAAGAAGCTCGCAAGTGACCAGAAGGATGCCAGGAAAAGCTAAACTAAGCCCAGGTTCACCAGGGTGGACAGAGTCAAAGGGTAAATGGTATGAGATGTGAAAAGAGAAAACCTGGGAGGCAGAGCTAACCAGGGCACTGGCAACCAACCAGAGTACCATTTACAAGAGGAAAAAAATAAAAAATAACCCAGTCAAAATCTCATCCCCTTTGACAGTCAAATTCACATACAGAATCAGTAACCTTTTTGCAGCTGCATTTTGGATGCAACAGAGAAGAGGAATCTTAGGAAAGTCTGCAACTAGATCTGCAGAGATCCAATTCTGATGACTGCTGATAAAAGAGGAAGATACAGCACTTTCAAATTGTAGAAGAGCAACTGCATTATAAATTCCTGAGGGTGAGCACACATGGGTAGATAAGGACAAAATAGAAAGGGAAGCCAAAATGGTTTGCGGGAGCAAACAGTTTCTAGGGAAAGTGAACATGAAGTTATCACAGTTGCCTTGTTTCTAACACACAAGCAAGTAGTGACAGTCACTATAAAAGACACTCTTAACATAGTAGGTCTTAGTCCTTCTTCCCAGTGTCTGTTCTTACAACATGACCTCACAACATAAAGGAACTGTGGGGTACAAGTGTATATAAAAAGTGCATAACACAGAAGTGCGAACACTTCATCCAGACTTGCAGCCTGCTGAATTCAAGCCTAGAGCTGGCAAAGGGTGTACCCACACAGCACAGTCTCTACTCCTGGTGCGCTGTTGAAGACTAAGAAGTAGATGGAGTCAATCCTCCTTGCTTACAGAGCAACCCCACAGACTGTTTCCAAAGAACAAGATGCAGGAAACTCTTACTGTCAGCAGTTTTTCCTAGTGGTCTGAAGTGAGCATCTAACAGGCTGTCACTTCTAGGAGTGACCTGAGATCAAACTGGGGACAAATGGATCAAATATAATCTTGTGACTGACCAGAAGCAGTAGCTTCACTTTGTTTTGGAATATGAATACAGTAGCATGCCATAGGCAGCACTGGCTGGTTTATCTGCACTTATTTATCAGCACTTACCTGGTTTATTACAATTCAGCTTACAGATGATCATAAAGCCTGTCCCTGCAAAATACTGGGAAAAAAACTGCTACCACAGTTGCAGATCTGGTAGAAGCTGGGTGCTCTCTGAACTTTGTAAGAAGATGATTACATTGTGCAAATGAATTTACAGAACTAAAAATAAATTCAGAAACTGTAATCAACCATCAGAAGTGTACTGCAAGCAGCAGAATTCCTTCCCAGGAGTTTGCTGGGCTCTGTATGCCTACCTCATTTTCAGAAACAGGAAACGTCTCCTTTTCTAGGAGTTGGGTGGCATTTTGCAAGATTAATTAAAAATGAATATGTCTGAAGCAGGATTTGTTCTAACAATATGATTCTGCCAATGGCTTAAGACTGTCTATGCTGTACTATCCAGGGAACTATGGCCATGGCACAATCCAGAGTCCACCTACTTCTCCAGCCCTTTCTACCATTGTACATTGCAAAAATAAGCTGCCAAAGTGAACTTCTGGTTTCAAACCAGCTGGGATGACAAAAACCAGCTTGCAACAAAGCCTGACACACAGGTATAGAGCTCATGCAGATCTCAGCCTCAATTTTCACCCATTATGCAGCTGTCCGCATATAAAGCGCTAGAAATCCCTGCTCTAAACAGTAGTGCTACTAATGTGCTTAAGCCTCATTTACACCAAATGGATGCAGAACGAGAAATCAGCAACAAGTCAGCTGGAAACAGGGAGGAATTCTCTTACCTTCCATGGCATATTTCATATCCTGGGCAAAAAGGCTCCACATCACCTCTGCACTGATCTTTCCAACAGCAAGCTCCTGAGGAAACCTGAGGGGACATTAGGGAAAGGCTTTGGCATGTATCAGATCAAAGGGCTCTCTATTCTTTATTCAAGTCTGGGCTAAACTACAAGCTGAAGAGCTCAACATTACATACGCTTCCTTCATCCTAGATAAATGACCAGATGGAAATCAGAGATCATGAATTGGACTCTGTGGCATAGATTAAAAAACCTGAAAACAACACTGCTACTGAGATTCATTTTAACTCGAAAAGCCAAGCCCTGGATGTCTCTCCTAGAAGAGAAGCATACAATAATTCTGGGAACATGATCTCAGTGCCCTTGCAGCTTTTTCTGCTTTCTTGTCCATATGCCTTTTTTTCTAGGCTGACCTGTGAATACATGTGTCCTTCCCATGTTAAATCAATGATCACTAGGCCATAATCCAGCATTTTGTGTGTAATACTTTGTCAGATAGCTCCTGCCCCATGGGACTGTTGGAGGAGTATCCACCAGTCAAATAGACTAGTTTCAGGTTCCTTTCCAATGTGCCAATCCCACCCACTGCAATCTCCCAGTGCTGCATGGACAGCATATTCCTAAATCACAGTGTAAAGTGTTGTCAGCACAGCACCACGTGTGTGCATTAATGCGCATCCCAGAACTGCTCAACGTGAGAAAAAACCAAAAGAACTCTCACCCCATTTTCAGGTGTCTCCCTGAGTTCAGGATTGTAATAATCAGGGTGTTTGAGCTTGAACGCCATCGTAACTGAACTTTTTGATACTCTTCCATCCCAATCAAAAAGAGTTATTTATATAGACAGAGACAGATAAGACAGAAAGACAGACAGACAAGATAAGTACTTCCATAAATACACAAGTGACAGAAGAGATAGAAAGCAGTTTAACAAATAAAGCAGAGCACACAGAGACTAGCATTAGACATACAAGACAAGGAAGATTCTTACTGATTCAGGACTGGGGTGTAAGAATTCTTGTCCTCTTCTATGATGGAAACTATCAAAGTGATGAGCTTGGGCCAGAAATCCAGGTTCCTGATGCTGGGGCCCTGTTCCTCAGGAGGAAGGTCCTGATTTTTGTTCTGGGAAGGAAGCCATTGGAAAACCAGTGTAAATTTAAAAGAGAAAGAAAAAGCTGGCAAATGTAGATCTCCATAGGAATTCCAAACAGTAATTCCCTATGGACCACTCTTCTGAAGAGCTTAAAATTATTAATGCCTGCTGTCAACTTACATGATCTCATGCAAAACAGAGTAACAAGCCAAACCATATTGCTTACTGGTAGCCTTAAAGCCAAATAATGCCTGTTTTGTCATTTACCATGCCAAGAGCAGGGCAGACTTCAGGAGACCTTCTGAGACATCATTTGCTCTAAGCTTGTTTGAAATACTTGCTTTTTAGGGACTTGGGTTGATAACTATATCCACACTGACACATTGTGCGTGCATTACTGCAGAGTGGCCAGCAGAGCTCTCATGGATTTGAAAACAGTTTGTGTCTAGAGGTACCTCCTAAACCCAGAGCAGGTCACTGGGTGCTAGTAACCAAGATAAAATTTCACTACTCAAGGTTTACCTATGCTAAGAACAGTTTTTTGAACTGTCTACATTTTTCTCTAATTGGCTTTTTCTCACTCAAAGCTGCATTAAACCTTCCCTTTGCAAATAACTGATCATGAAATAGAATAGCTGAGCTGGCAAAACGAATCGTAATTAGTTACTGTAAAATAATTATCATCCTCCACTTACTAATTAGTGTTCATTAACTGATTACAAGTTTTTGCATTCAGAAGATAACAAGTCATATAATTTTGTTTGTGTTGGCTTTCTATACCAATTAGTATTCTTGTTATTATTTAAAGAAAATCAGAGACTTGGATTTCTGCCTGCTTATCAGCTACTCACAGGATCTGTCTGGTATTCGCGACTGTACAGCTCGTGACAGTTGTTGAAAATGTACTCATAGGTGGAGTTGAGGCAAGCTTTCACGCAGTCCTTCACTACCTGGCTGGCTCGGGGTGGACTCTGCAGCTCTTGGACCTGACAAGGAGACAACAAAGACTGTGAAATAAGCACTGTTCATAAATCAAACATGGAAAGAACAAGTCGGCAGTTTGGGAGCTACTCAGGACTTGGTAGGTCTGCTTTCAGCAACCTGTGCTATCAGTGATCTGCAACCGTGAATGGGTTGCTCTCTCCAGACATAAAAAAGCAGTGACAACACTTACGTCCCCGCAGGATTGTCTGGAACTTAACAGGGATTTTGAAGCACCAATGATGATCTTCAGGATAAATAAATCATGTGTTTTGATGTGTGCATAATCCAAGCCAAGCACACACAATTTCTGCTAAATTTATACAATTTTGCTATGAAACCAGCAAGCAATCTTTCTTAACACTGGAAGAATGTGCAATACACCAGAGGAAGAAATTACATCTAACCTGGAAAGCCTTGCTGAAGACCAAACACTTGCAAGCCTTTAAATACAAAAACTTCCTCTAAGGACATCTTTCATCACAAGCTTTATTGAATTTTAAAGTACACCAGACTCCTTAGGGACATACCATCTGATACGCTTCTTCCTCTTCCAACAGCAGCTCTTTTCATTATTTCATTGCTTTAGAAAAACACTGCAGGACTACTTCAAACTAAACAAATATGCAGGCATCACCCTGCAAATGAAACTACATCTTCAGACAATTTTGATATTGTCACTACCTCTAAACTTCTCAGAGTATTTCTATAAAGCAAACTTTCAATACGGACACATTGTCTGAATGGGCACTATCAAAATAAAGTTCTAAAATATGATTTACCCTACGGCTTAAGAATAAAGTTATAAACACATTCTGAAACACCTCAAATTAAAGATCTGCTTTAGTTTTGATAAGATAAAAATTACTAAGTGACATGTGCTAACCTACAATATTAAAAAAGAAAAGTAGGAATAATCTCATTACACACTGCTAGAACCATACGCTTAACTACATAAACAGCACATCAGTATTCATAACAAGCCCTCTTGGATCTCTACTGACAGATATGATCCCATTTCAGTATCTCACCCCCCAAGAAATAAATTTAAACATATTTATGAGATAAAAGATGGTGAAGAGATGGTAGTGACTGATAAATGTTGTACACAGGAAAAGCTTCCTAATGCTATTACTGAAAGTAAATTATCTTCCCAAAACCAGAATTTTCTTTTTTCCTCTTTTTTTTTTTTTTTTTTTTTTTTATTTGTGCTTTATTTATGACTGACAAACCCCAGGGGAAAAAACAACTTTCATCTTCATGATACAAAATACAGTGAAGTAAAGATAAAACGTGGATGTTTATTACATGGTCAGCAGATGATCTCCATTTTCCGTAACTGTTTAAAGCAACAATATGAAACAATGGTTTGAAAATGAGAAACCAACTCCTAGGGCAAAAACTGCAGAGGTTCCATTCCCATCCCTACACATAACACTACCTTCATCCTGAAAAAAGTGATGCTGGTCAGCAAATCCACTGTAGACTTCAGGTCCTGCAGCCGTTCACGGCTGCTGGCTGGGAAGTTATTCTGTCGACAGAAAAGGAAAATCCTGTTGGAAAGCACAGTCAGATCCATGCAAGACTTTAAGCATGTGCTAAATAAGGAAAGTGTCTTGGAAACATTTCCTGCTTGAGAAGCTTTTACCAGTCAAAACAATGCTCAATAAATAAGGCCTTTTTGCTGCAGGAGCGTATCTGTTTGCTTAATTAAATAGCTTCTCATATGAATGTAAAATCTGTGGATGCCAGGAGACTGACAGCCCTCAGCAGAAGGAGCTCTCTCCTTGGCTGCACAAGGAGAAGGCAAGGAGCAACAGCCACATCACCAGCATCTCCTGGCCTCTTGCTTGATGTCGCTTGTGTGGACCCTTTCATTTCTGCACTCACTGATTGCATTTTGGCTTCTCTTCTGAGACAGAGAGAGGTGTGGTATATTAGCAATGTCCCCACAGAAATAAACAGGCCTGAGAAGGGAAAATGAGCGCTGCTCCCTGTAAGAAGTCATGGTAACCACCCAGTTCCGTCTGTGACCCAATCTGCTAAGATAAGCATGTGTCCTTGCTCTAATGCATTTATTTTACATACTTAGTCCACCACCCTGCTGTCCATGACCACAGTTTCCTCTTCCACTATCTGGGTTCGACTGAAATTAGAAGTCTAATTGTCCCTTCCAGATATGATACGTATGTGTGCATATGTATATATATGCATGTAAGTGCATATGCTGAATACAACAAGCTTTGCTTCTTGCAAGAGTCTGTCCCTATTCTGACCTCTGGCACTGTGCCCTTTCCTACATTCCCTCTCTCCTTCCTGGTACTTTAACAGCATTCATGTTTCTCAGCATGTTGTTACAATCAAGCTGATATGATTGGTTTTGTTGCGAGTAAAATGGTAAAAGCAACCTTTGCTTGGATAGTCTCTTCATACACGCACAATCAAAAATTATTAGACACACATTAGACACGCACAAAGGTAAATAGGGCAGAAGGGAACAAGTTTTCATTTATTATTGGGGATTTGCAGAAAAATATGCTGTCTCCTTACAGCAATTAAGTATTGTTGCAGTTCAGAAAAACACTGCAAGCAATTTAATACTCTTTAGAGTCATTTGTAGAAGCTTATTCCTAGACAACTCTCATTTTAAACTTTACATTGCCCAGACAGGGACTCTCTGGCACTCACGGTATTCATCAGAATCAAAGACTTCTGTCATTCAACATTTAAACACAAACCACTGGATGAACACTGAGGATTGAATGCATGTTCTTGATAAGAAATAATCATCAGGAAAAGATAACATTACTTATATTGAAATTCAATCTCCCTTATGTCAGCTCACAAAACAGTTTTCAAACTAATTATTCAGAGGGTGACTTGGAGCTACTCGAGAGGGCTCCAGTTTTCCCATCCTGACCTGCCAATGGAAAGAACACACATCCGTTTGTCGCTTTCTTTTCCACAAATCCACACTGCTAGTAATTCACTGTTTAAAGTGATTAAAAATAGCTTGATTAAATTAGGGGAAAAGGAAGGATTAATCTGTATAATTTAAGTTGGAAATTCCCATCTCCTGTCTTGAAATCTAGAAACCAACACCTTTTTTTCCAGAATTTAACCTGCCCTTCAGGGATCTTAAAATAATTATTAAGAGTTCCCAAATTGCTTCAGCCATTTCAGTAAATACACTGCAAATTAGATAGCAGCTAAATTATTTAAACTATACAAATCTTTCCTGGTCCTTTATGCAAGATCTTACTTGTTTGTCCACAGTTTGGTTGCATGAGCCACTGGAAAGCAGCTTTTATTGAAGATCAAGCAAACGAAAAAGACATCACCACTACAGATTCCTATTGCCACTTGATAATTTTCCCTCTGCTACTCAGTCAATCAGTGCTCTCTTCAGACCTTCTCTTTCTAGTGACATCATTTTAGAATAGCTCTTTATACAACATTCCTTTTATCTTCTTTTGCATCTTGCCCCATCATTTTTATGTCTTCTTAATGCACTTCTCCTCTTAGTCTGCTCACGTTTCCATATACTGCATGTTTTACGGTAGTTCATATAAATGCGCTAATCATAAGAAGTTCTACTTTTAAATAAATAAAATTAAAGCTCACATTTTGCCACCATTGTTAAATTTTTCAATGAATTGGTCACTGATTGAAATCAAACAGCAAGAAATTAGAAAAAAAAAGGAAAAAAAAAGCCATGTCACATGGTAAGACCATGTTGACTCTGGAACAGCAAGGAAAGAAACTAGGGGGTTTAAGGAGCCTGATGGACCGATACCAACATTTGAAACTCATCTCTCCCCAATATGCTGAAGTGGGGAGGATCTCAACCTGAAAGGACATCTTGTAGATCCAGAGTCAGGGTCAGTGATCCAAGTTCACCAAACCTGAAGTAAGTGACAACACAAGGGCAGTTCTTCTAAAAGACTTCTGTCTCACTAGGGGAGAACAAGTCTGTTTTCCATTTGTAGACGATACCTGAAGTAGCTGATAAGACTAATTCAAATTAATTAATCTAATACAACTTGCATAGTTCACAACCCTTAAATTATTTCAGAAGTCTTTAGGAAGTTATAATGGAAGAAAAAAACATGGTTCGTGTTCTATTCATGAGGAAAACAAAAAGGTGTATTCATGCAACATGCTTGACATGACAATTCCGTAAGACAGAAACTACCCAAAAACTTAGAAACATATAAGAAATCCAGATAGTGTGTTTCCCCTCTGCCCACCAGAATGCCTGAAAGGATTCTGTTTATTCCTACTTACCCTGTACATTGAGAGATCAATCCGAAGTGAATTATGAAGCTGGTCCAGAAGCTTCACAAATCGTTCTTTCTGTTGAGCAGAAAACACCAATAAACACCACATATCATCACTGCCCCAGTGATGTTCAGTGTAAGCAGCAGGGTATCAGGGAATTAGTGTCAGATCTCAGGAGAGTGGGAGGAAGCAATATGGATGCATGGTATTGTGCAAGCAGTGTTTTCTTTTGATTCTTGGATTTACTCTCATACTGTAATTATTTCTGAAGTCTGTGTAACATTAGAATTGTTCACATGTAACATCAGAAAAATGCTCCATTATCACTCTCAAGTAGAGGTAGAACAAAACGCCTTCTGATTTCTAGTCTGCAATTTGCACCAAACTTCTATTTAAGAGAAAATATTTATTTAGAGATGAATAAAGGAACAGGCAGAAAAAGGTCTAATTCAGAGCAATGATACAGCTCCAAGATCTTATCTGTTAGTTCAGTGACAAGTATTACAGGCTTCTCGTGACTATCTTCTCAAGGTCAGGTCTCTCCACTGGATTCTGATCTGGCATCGTGAACACCTCCTCATTCAATCTATAAATTCTCAGTCTGAAGAGAAGCACGAGCTTTTCCAAATACTTTTCCAGCACGCTCAACTCCACCACATGTTATATGAAAAACATTTTAACCATTAGGGGGACAGACATTTTTTGTTTTGTACTTTCATAAACCAGTTTCTGTTTTTAAAACAACGTTCTGAAACGATCAGATCATACAATATATTTTATCAACAGTATCACCCGCAGAGTTTAAGGCTATTTGCTTATTCTATACCATCTGTGCTCCAGTATAATTTGAACACAAAGAATAAACATCATAATACATTACATTGATTAATACCTAAAATGCATGGTGATGACAATTAAACCATGCTCTTTGTCTAGCCTAGAAGAGCTCCACAGATTCCAACTCCTCAAGAGATTCAATATTCTTTACACAGAACTAGTTATTTATTGAGATGCAGAAGGACCACAGGCAAATTACAGAAATCCAATTGTAACATCACCAAACACACAAACATACCCCAAAATTGGAGGCTGCAAAGCGGTCTGAAGCAGACACATTCGTGGAGGCAGTGGTGTGCGCATAATAAGCATTGATATTGGCAAGTAAGGTGCTCATCACAGCTGGCACGCCTGGACACATGTATTTAGAGGAGAGACATGCAAAATGCCTGCAAAAGGACAGTTCTGTAAGTCATTCTGGTCTCTTTTGTGTAGCACAACTTGACTCTATCCCTTTAACAGCCCCCTTACTCTGGCTGGCACCATGAACAGATGAAAGCTATGTTTCCTCCCTTCCTGTAAATCTGCAGCATCCCAGAGCTTTTTCAGAAAGATGACATCTAGACAACAGATACACTTGAAACAAGAGAAATCCTTTCACTACAGCCCTTTCCATAAAATAGCTTCTTCACCATTTCTTGCCAACAGGTTGTGACTTAGGCGATACCCTGTGTTTGTAATCCAGTTCCTAGACTCGAGCTTGACACAAGGAAATCTATGTAATTCGCTGCCACTTGAGGCAGCCACAGGTTCTGAGGTAACATGAGGCAGCAGTAACTGGAAAGCATTCAAGCACAGCGAGATCACACACTAGTATTTCTGTGCTGCACTGATATGTGATTCCTTAGGGCTAACCCCTTAGCCTGCAGGAAACGTGCACACTCATTTGCATTTTCCCATTTAACTGCTCTCATTAAAATGCAACGAACCTTCCTGCAGGAAATATCAAAATTATGCCAGAAGTGGCCACGCTTGTGAAATGATTAAACAATCAAAGAAAATCTGTTCGACATAAGCGGGGGGGAAATCAGAGTTTAAGAGGTCTGATATTATGGGACATGGCAAGTAAAGTTCATCCCAACAGATAGGAGAGTTGGCATTTTTAAGCAATCCTTTTTAAGCAGGAATCCTCACTGAGCTCCCAAAGTAAATCTAGGAACTACTTTCTAAATGTAGCTTTCTCCCTATAGGACTCAAAGAATCACTGAATAGTTTGGGTTGGGAGGGGCCTTTAAAGGTCACCTGGTCCAGCCTCCCAGCACTGAACAGGGACACCTTCCAGTAGAGCAGGTTGCTCCAAACCCTGTCTAACCTGGCCTTGAACACTGCCAGGGATGGGGCAGCCATCTCTGGGCAACTTGTGCAACTGTCTCACCACCCTCATAGTGAAGAATTTCTTCCTTATAGCTAATGAAAATCTACCCCCTTTTAATTTAAAACCATTCCCCCTTGTTCTATCACTACAGGCTCTACTGAAAAGTTGTCCCCATCTTTCTTATAAGCCCCATTTGAGTATTGAAAGACTACTCTAAGGTCTTCCCAGAGCTTTCTCTTCTCCAGGCGGAACAAGTCCAGCTCTCTCAGCCTTTCCTGACAGGAAAGGTGCTCCAGCCCTTGGACTCATCACAGACATTAACTTCTGTGCTAGTTAATGTTCAAATGATTATAACCAAAAAAGCTCCAGTGAGAGAATTTAACGAGAATTCACAAATCAGTATTTCAGACAAACATGATACCGATGCCTTGCTTGCTACACAATACCTATGTACGAATTGGTCATTTAGGTATTTGATAAATAAAGATAAGATATACAAAATGGCTTTGTTTAGCTTGAAGAAGAGAAGGTGTGAGGAGTGGGAATCTAATCAATGTCTTGACTACTTAGCAGAGAGGGGAGGGTTAGTGAGAATACTAAGCCAGGACAAAATCCTTTTAAGAGGAAAGACTAAAAGATAAGCAGCAATATGCAGCAGTTACAGCACAGGAAATTCAAAGCAGGAATTTCCAATTTGGATTTCAACCATGGATTTCTTCCCTAGAGTAATACAGTCTTAGGACTGGAGCCCAAAGAGGTGGTCAATCTCCACCCTTGGAAATTTTCAACAAACTGAAAGAGGCCCTGAGCACCCTGGTACAACTTCCAATTTATCCTGCTATAAGCAAGGACTAGACCTCTGGACCTACCTTCCATTTCTTTTCCACTTTGGCTTAAATCAATAGGCAGAAAAGGTGCTTGCAAGTGACGTAATTACAGATCATACTTCACCCAAGGACTCAGATCCCAAAACTTTCAGCTTCTAACATGAAAAAGTTCACGTTTGTCTGCTATATTTAATATTACATTTGAAATAAGAAATGAGCCAGGTCTACAAGCCTACTTAAAGACTACTAGTTTTTAAGAGGAAGAATGGCTAATCCCAAATCCAAGTAAAAATATAGTGAGAAGGAAAATGCTCTTTGAAGATCAAGAACTGGACTAGCCTAGCTCCAAAGAGGACAATCAGTGGCTCCATTATACAAACTTCCCATAAATGCCTTCAACAGCACCTGGGAAATTAGTGACTTTAAAGGATTTTATCAATTGCCACACAGACATATTGGACAAAGGCATTCACAAAACCTCATCCCTTCTCAAATCATCAGAAATTGCCAGTGGGAGCCCTGGGCAGTACCTTATTAACAGAGTGCTCAAATGGAGATTTGAGTCATAAACTGTAAATGGCTCAGCTATCAATAATAAAATATGGTCATTTACACTACCAAAATTGGTGTTATTTCTTAGAATTAATTTTAAAGATGTGCACACAAACTGTTCAGGTAGATGCTTAATTCCAGCCCTTAACTTCGACATTAATTTCTAGGCTTTGAGGAAACCAGTGATTCAGAAACAGGCAGTCTCTCCCTGCGCACAGTAAGCCCCATAAAAAGCAGCTGTCACTGACAAGCCTTCCATTACCAACACATTTCTTCCTCTAAATATTAATAGTCACATCAAACAGTTACACTGATTACCCGCCCTAAAGACCACATGAAATACTTCTTACGTCATGGCCTGGTATATTGACTCAATGCCGTAACGCATTGCGAATTCATCCACGATCTCTTGAGCTGTCTCATCAAAATACACCTTCCAGGCATCATCTCCTTTGGCATCAGGGATCTTCACCACCCCATTCCCTTGCACATCTGTGAGATGGTGAAAGAGGTTCTGAAACACAAAACACGATTGAAATCACATATGCTGAAGCCTTCAAGTTTCATGAAGAGTTTGGAACTGCTCAGAAGACGTCACTAACACAAATTTCTTTGCTCTCCCACCTCTGTCTTCCCCCCCTACCCAATATGTATTTCTTTTCTTCTTGACTTCTCCCAGCTGACTATTTTGCATGTGTACCTACGATTTTAACCAGCAGACATTGTGAATGATGCAGAGGAGGTGCATGTGACAATGCATGAACGATGCATGTGAACGATGCAGAGGAGGTGCATGTGACAATGCATGAATGATGCATGCGAACTATGCAGAGGAGGTGCTTCAACACAGTAAAACCACAGACTAGTTTCCTGAAACCTACACACTTCTGTCCTCAGAATGAAACGCCTTAACATGGATGAGTTATTTAAACTAGCTGACGTAACAGTTCTATATTGGCTTTGTAACTATTATTTCACAAAACAGTCCAAACAAATTTTTTTTTTTTTTTAAAGGACATCCTTAAGATCACCCCTACAAACTAGACACTTGCATTATTATTCAACATAACCCTTCATTTTATCTAATACTGCAAAGACTTTCAGCTATCACTGCTGTGCAGAGTATGCATGTCTCTCAGATTCATCAGCCTTTCAGACAGCAGGCTCCCTGTAGTAAGGAACGCAAAAATCCAACAATCTTATTAGGAGCTAGATGACTCTGCTTTACACTATTTTTCCTGATTATTCTACCTGTAAATCATCTTCATATTATGATACACAAATGAAATAAAGTGATACTGAAAATGCAACCTATTTGCAAAAAAGGGTAGCAAGCAATTATGCATGTTCAGAAGGAAGAAATCGAACTGGCTTACCAAGCAGAAGCCATCACTGAACTGATAAACAATAAATATGTATTGAAGGACACAACACAGCCTATGAAAAGAAGCCTACTGATGTTTTTCTAAGCTTCCTATCTGTCTGTTCTCTGGTAAGCCCAGAGGACACCAAAGGGCTCATCTAGCCCATCAACTGGATAAATATGTTGTTCTGTAGCTGAACTTTGCGATACATCTGTCCTTCTTTTCTAATCTGAATTTGCTTAAACCTCACTGGACCTCATGATACTCTTTTATGTCAGGTGAAAGGGGATCTGACTATTCTTCCTTATTCATGCACTGAAGAGACAGACCCTGCTACCTGCCTTCTCTTTGACAGAGAGACTGGGCACCCTGAGACAGGTTTTTCCCTTTAGTCCTTCTCACAAATCATCTTTGGATCTCTCCCATCTTGTGCAGCACTGCCTGCCCACTCAGTCCACCCAAGACAGATCAGTAGTCAGTAACCACAGCTTATCTTCTATTCCCCAACAGTTGTTCACAGCTACACACCAGTGCAGCAGCACAGAAGAATTTGTAACACCAGTATCCACATCACTCAACAGCAAGAGCCAAAGCCCTCCCTAGATCAGAATTTACTTATAAAGAAAGTCATAAATAGGTACAGTACATGCTGAAAACATCATTCAAGAAAATTCGGAGGTTTCTCCATGTTAAACTTGTGGACCAATGCCAGATCTCTGCCACACAGCAACACAGCTGTGACAATGGGACAGAGTGAGACAGTCAGCCCCTGGTGTGGAGGAGAAAGCCTAAAGCCTTCTCTGCCTCCCTGACAAATGGAGGTCTGATGATTCAGCTTAGTAGGCCTGCACAGCAGGGAAAAGAAAGCTCATCTAGTGCAAGGAGAAACATTTCAAGGAAGGAAAGGTCAGAACATTGCTTCTTCAAGAGACAGAAGGAACATGGCAATGACTGAGCTGAACCCACTTCTTACCTCATGAAGGCAAGTGTACTGAATATGATATGGAGCCACCTTCTCCTCGCCTTTGATCTCCACACTGATTTGTAAGCGAATAGCCCCAGACACTGCAGACTTATCTGTTCGCTTTTCTAAAAGAAAAAATCGTCAGTGATTACATGCATTGTTCATGTCTAGAGCAGAGACATCTTGGGGTGACAACACTGGAAAAAAACTGCTGGAAGCTCAGGCTGAGCTTGTGATCAGAGTCACCATGGAGAAAACTTTCTGACTTTTTCTAACATTGGCTGTTAAGTAGTCATCAGCAAAACAACTGCCGTGTTACACCCTCAGTATGACACACCTCGCTAGAACTATGTACATTTCTAGTTGTGAGAGAGCCTTTCTGACAGCAAATGTGCTGTAGGGTCTTGGATTCAGTCAGCTGAACTAGAACCACCAAGGACAGATCCCTTTTCTGAGAACAGGGCTGACTGATGTGGAATTTATTCCTTACTTCACCACAGTCCTTAGCTCCTGGGAACTGCTGGTTGTGCCTCTGAAGATTTTGGACCTCCTAGGATTATTACTATACCTGTCAATTCAGCACCATCTGGTTACTTGCCAGTACTTTCTACAGTGTTCTCTTTTGGTCACTGAGAAAGGTCTCAACAACTTCCCAGCCCAGTGCAGTCCACTTGCAGGTCTTACAGACTATTAAAACGATTGTGTTGGCACAAAACCAGTCACAGGACAGGAAACATACGTCCAGCACAGGTGGAATCCAGTCCTGCTCTAAGCAGTTTACCCACTGTACTTTCCTGACAGGGAAAAAACATTCCCCTTCTGACATGTTACACTCCTCACTTTAACTGAGACCAAAGCCTTGCAGCTGCTCTGCAACACTATCATATGCCCCTTGAAACCATGTGAGCATTTTTTTCCTTTCTGCAAACTGTCTATATGCACCCACGTGCTCTCAAACATTCCCAAACTAACACGTGACAAGTTTTCATCCCCAAAGCCCTGCTTACCAAGGTTGTACCACACATCCATTTCTCCACTAAGAGTACGGACTTCAATGATTGTCTGCCCCAGGAAGTCATCTGACTCGCGCTTCAATCTCTGCTTGACACGAGACTTGATGTCGTCATCTTCATCCCATACTCGCACCTTGATCCGGTCAGAAGAATTATGGCACTCACTGCAAACAAGACAAACATCATGTTGAAGAGCACATAACTCAGCCAATATTTTTATGCTACGTGCATCACATTCCACTTGACCCACCTGCCCAACAGCAGAGGGATGCATAAACAAAATGAAACCCATGCCTATTAATTTAAAAATGGAACATCTGGTAGGAACTACACAACAACATTTAGGTGCACTCTGAATGCTCTTGTGACATAGACACTGTACTTCAGATGCAGGCTGAAGAAGCGCCCTGCACTGACTGCAACCACCGACTTCAGACTTGCTAAGCGTATGTGACTCTTTTGCTCATCTTCACTCTCAGCAGCAGCTCCCTGAACTTGGGAATTCTCTTCACTGTTGCTGCTTTTGGTGTGAAGCCCACAAAAGCCTAGTGATAGCTAGGATAGTAAACTCAGCATACACACCCCAAAAATGATGACGAGCATCTCACTGATTTATGGTAGCTCTCCTCATCAATGATCTGTTCAGCTGTAGGTATTAAAGGCTACTTGTGTTTATGGATGTGCAGTACCTAGTGTAGTACGGCCAAGGCCTATGACAAACACCCTTCTTGCTGTTTTCTAATAACAGATAAATAGCTCAAGTGGAGTTAGCTCTCTTACTTCAAGATAGTCATAAGCAGTAGTGTATCAATGTACAATACATTATGATCAGATGATATAAACACTGGCTGTGCCTGGGCGGAAAGGGTGAGATACAGTAGTTACAAAGTTGGTATTTAATTACTAGAATTGATTCTGGTTACTATTCACAGCTCAGACTGATCTGTGCTCTGGGCAGATCAGTAAAGACATTTCCATTTTAAAAAAAGCAGTTTAACTGCTTGCTGAATCAGCTCAATGCACAGGCAGAATCTGCAGCTTTCCCCCTCTTTTTAGGAGTTAGATACCTTCTGTAGAACCAAACAGGCTTCCACATGTCAGAAGTGGGTAGAAGAACCTTATTATAAGAATTCTGCTCATTTACAGAGCATGAATACAATAAAGCAATCTGAATGCTCAGAGCCACTACAAATGTCTGCCCTCGAGGAAATAAAACCTATGAAAAGAGGCAACTTGTGCTGAAGGCCTGTTTTCCAGCCTTTTTAACATTAACATGCTGCATCTGTTGCTAAGCAACAGGGAGAAGGAAGAAATGGGTCAGAAGAGATTTGCTAAGTCTGGTCAGTAAGATGTGGCAGCGACTGGTATTTGCATGATCTCTACCTAGAAATAATTTGGGCTCCTACTGCCATTATTGTGATTCAGGACTGCTTAACAGACATCCATGCAGCTAATATCAAATTTTCCAGTTGAGAAGAATAGCTGGGAATTAATCAAAGAAAGTTAGAGGTAATTCCATGCAACTCCAATCATGGGCAGAAAGCACCGCTGCTCCCTGCCTTTGCTGTACAATCAAAACTCTAAATAGAGATCAGAAGAACGAAGGTTCAATGCTTCTCTCCTGTCTTTATTCTCCCCTTCCTCCTCCTCTACTTCAAGGATATCTTCCTTTAACAAAACCATGCAGAAAGTGTTTACTAGCAGGGAACACTTGGACTGCTGCTTTTTGTAGTTCTCTAATATATCTGAGCACAATGCCATGTCTACCAGCAACACAGCATAAGCACGTAAAAGAAATCCTCTGTTCCTGACATGGTGCACTAATGTACATCGTGTCAGTACCTCAGAGGCTCACTGTTCAGAAGTGCATGGGTGCCTAAGAACACAGATTGGCACACATGCCATTTACAAAACACCCAATTTCCTCAGACCTCACCTCTGGCACACATGTTCTTTGTTAGGACTGGTTTGATATTGTTTCTCTGCCACCATGGATAGAAAATGCCTCTTTCCTTTAGGAAAACATTCACTGTTTAGACCTAAATCTACCTTATCCAGTATCATATGCATGATACCAGGCTCCTGGAGTGCTGGCTGTCATCGCTCATTTGGCTACAGCAGCATAACTCACTGTTAAGTGCTACAGGAAACTTTCCAGTAGCATTTGCTAAGCAACCGAACCTTATATTCTAACACACCTTTGTTTTTTTAAGATACTGCTCAATTCATATTCTTAATGCTATTCCCATGCCAGACAGTGAGTCTTATCACGGGCTCGCAGCAGCTGAAAGCTGGTGGCTTACCCATAACATCACCACCTAAGTCTGTAGAAAACACAGTCCTTCTGTTGAAGCAAGACAGTTGTGTCAACACCAGTTCACGTTCCAGAGAGCACTCCAAACCAGAACCATCAATACTAGAGAACTTGGGCTTGATGAGTGATTGCAGGCTAAGTAATGGGAAATAGCTTCCAATCTGTAACAGCATCACGACTCTGATAGACTGTGGCTAACAAGCTCTGCTGCTAGAAACTTTCCCCTTCATTAATACAAGAGCTGGAACATTTCTAAAGATGACTGCCCCACTTCTTGCTACATTTCTGAGAAGCTTGATGTCACTGTGTGCGCACATACATCTGTCCAGTGTCCCACAGCTGAGCTCCCACAGCTTTCCCAAGAGGATGCACAGAGAAGAATCACTCTGTGACCCCATTGTAAGGAAGAAAATATCAAAAGCTTTCAGGCTCATTTCAGAGTGCAAGAGACTGGAAACCAGGTTCCCTTTGCATAGAGCTCAGAAATTGTATAAATCTTTTATATCCATATTGTCCTGATGTCTGCATTGGTGCCATTTTTATAAGGAACTTACTTCTGCACTTCAAGCTACCAAATAAAGTAACAACTTCAAGAAATGGCACACCATATCTTTAAGAAAACTTAAAATTAAATGAATTGTGGAGGGGCTTTTTTTCATTAAGTTTTTTTGCCTGAAGCCAGGGGTTGCAGGAGCAGTGGAAGCACCTGAGCCTGGTTCTGCTGACTTGCTCTCTATGCTACTCTACCTCCACCTCTTCTGCCACGCTCCCCTATGGCCTCACCCAACCTCAAACCACCAGCTCCCCACACACATCCCCTGCACTGTCAATACTCTGCCCTCTTCCCATGCCCAGTTATCAAATGGGCTGAGGGGAAGCACGCGAGCACACGAAGCTGTAGTTAATTCTGGTCTGCTCACACAGCAGCATACCCACACACATGCTAATTGGTATATTGGTGGCTAAACAGAACAAGCAACTGCTGAATTTACACTATAGTGCCTCCCACAATGAAGTTAGCAAGTTTACCCTTCTAATCTAGCTCCAACTTCCACCAAAAGGACTGTAGAAAGCAATTCTTACTTCCGAGACCTCTCCCCATCTGTAAATAAAAAGACATTTCTGCTGAATCTGCTAATAATTTGCTGCTTGTGCTAACAACATTTGCAGCATTGTTACTTAACCTCCACAGGAATACTGAAGCCAAAGACATAAGCCTTGTTAAGTTGTGGTGAAGTTTGTATCTCTCACAGCAGAACCTTTGTAAAGGTATACTATAAAACCATGTGTCCAACAGTTCACAAAATGATCTTTACTGGCAGTAAAGATCACAAGTTTAAAGAATGGAGAGTGCCAAACTGAAAACCTGTAATTTTTTGTCACCGTTAGTTCACATTTGTGAACCTACACTCATGAAGACAGTCTGCTAAATAACTGTAAGGGTTAAAGTCCATTTGTATGACATCCACATGGACATTTCTTCCCAATCAATTTCTTATCTCAACAAAAGTGTTATCAACAGGTTGACCCTGCAGGACCCCCAAGCCCTCAGCTTCATTCCATTAATGCTGCACTGAGACCTAGACTGTGCATCTCTAAAACACAGTGTGCAGCCTAGACAGGTGGAATGCCAACACAGAGTCATAGAATGTGTTAGGAGGGGCCTTAAAGCTCATCCAGTTCCAACCTGTGCAGGGACATGGGCAGGGACACCTTTCACTAGACCAGGTTGCTCCAAGCCCCTGTGTCCAACATGGCCTTGAACACTGCCAGGGATGAGGCAGCCACAGCTTCTCTGGGCAACCTATGCCAGTGTCCCATCACCCTCAGAGTGAAGAACTTCTTCCTAATACGTATGGCCATTTTATATAAAGATGTTTCCTTAAATTATGTTGTTTTCTTCTGTTTTCTACCTGAAGAGCAGCAGAACCCAGAGGCCCTGTACGCAGCCAGGAGTCCACTGTGTTTGACAGCTCCCAAAGTGGAAGACAGCCCCTGGCTTGTATAGTGGACATGCTAATAAAAACAAAAAGCAGTAAGTACATGTAACAAGAACAAACAATGGAAGTTAGGGACCAGAGGAAGCAACAATATTTTGCAGATTTAAAAGTAGGTCAGTCAAGCTGAAAATTAAGTAGTTTTGCTGTGTTTTGATACAACAACAAGTATTTATGGTTCAAAGAGTCTAGTGAGTATCTATATGGCCATATTCTTTGAGCTGTTTCCCTTCTGCACCACGGCAGATGCAGCTCTCAAGAAGGGCCTGTAAACTTCACAGTCCAGCGCAGGGGACGTTTCGTGCAGTGGTAGAGAAAGAAAGTGCAGGGCTGCTTGAAGAAATAATGGGTGAGAGTGCAGAAGGTGGGAAAATGCACAGAAGAGGAAATTCTTCCTTCTGAGGAGCAAAGCTTCAAAAAAAAAAAGAAAAAGTTATTTTCTGAAAAATGAGAAAAAGATGTAATTGTAGGAACCACTATGAGAAAGCTTAGTAAAGAGTTATAACAACAGACAGAGGGAGCAGAAAAAAAGTTGCCTATGGGAAATGGCCTGGCTGAAAGAGCAGGAGGATTTGGATGTGGTTCAGATGAAGGCTCCAACTGGCAGCTCTGTTGTTGGCAACCTCAGTGGGAGTGGAAGGCAGGAAACTTCTCAAGACAGGTTAATTTTTAAACAATACCAAGATTCTTCTATTAGAGAGAAAAAAGGACAGTGGGGAAAACACCGAAGGCAAAATCAGAGTGATAAGAGAACAAAGCTAAAATCCTTAGTAGCTTAGACATATGCCCTGAGATACAGGTGTTGCTGTCTAAGAACAAAGAAATGAGTTTTCTGTTCTAACAAGCATGAAGCTCTTTTCTTAGGGGAACAAGTACAATCATTTTGCTGTAACCCAATGCTACAACACCAGCTGACAAATTAATGGTGCGGCTCTCCTAACTACAAAGAATAGATAAAGTGATTCTGAGCGTTACATCCTTAGCTACATTAACCCAGCTTCCCAACAGGTGCTTGCCACAAGGCATCAACTCTGAATGCAAATTTAAGTTTCACACTGGTAGCTGAGCAGGAGAACAACTGGGATTTTATCAGTGCCAGTTTCAGAATCCTCAGTACCTGAAGAAGAAAGGAAGCAAGACAAACTGAATGGTTCCTGCCATGCAGTGAAGGGAAGCAGAGGAGACAGTTACTGTGGCATTTATAAACACAGTGCTCCCAGAAGGAGAAGTATAAAATACAGCTCTAGAACAGACATATATAACCACAGAGATAACTGAAAGATGCCAAGCTTGACAACAGCTGAAAGGAAAACCGAGGAACTGAACAGAAGCTTCTGAGTGACAAGCCAGTGGTTAGCTGCGCAATAACATCATTCCCAAAGGATTAACAGGAATGCATATCATGTGGGTCTCTGCATGTCCTAGTAAAACTGATTATCTGTTAGCAGGAGGCACCACATTTATTTTAACTCAGTTACTCTTCTGCAGTCACAGAGAATAAACATGTCTCTTGCAAACTGTTCAGTGTTGATGTAATCTGTTCCAGGCAGTGATTTCACACCCACCATTCAAAGCTTCAGACACAGCTGTACTCAGATCATACAACTTCAAAGAGATATTACTGTAAAATGAACGAGTCATTCTGCACCTAGGCCAAGAAAAACAGCAATGTCCTGTTTGAATCCAGTAACTGCTACTGTTCACAGTCATTAAAGGCCGGGGCACTTACTGAATACAAGGTACAGATTAGCAGCCTCCAAACAAGCCCTTTAAAGGAGCTCTTTAAAATGAAGACTCTGTCCTGCAGTCAAGTTTATTCTCCCTAAACTGTCTGCTATTGTAACCCAATGGATGCTCAGCTTCAGCCTTCACAAAAGATTCTAGGAAGCCTGTAATTTCTACTGACAGTCTAAAACATGTCTAAATGGGGAATGTCCTGTTCTAATTGCACTGAACAGTGCAAAAAATACCTTTCCTCTAGAATTACTGGGCTGTTTCCTAAGGAAATGGAGTTCTGCAGACTTGTTATGAAAGCTTCTATGTTCCAACAAGTTTTGTGAGAAGAGAATCCCATACCAGCTGCCATCCCTGGAAAGCCTGCAGCCACCTGATTCTCATGTACCAAACGATGCAGACAGCTCAGAACCAACTGCAGGCAGGACGCATGCTGCCTTCTGTCCCACCAGAGTTAAAGGCAAGGGAAGAGAACTGAGGGGCACTTGTACATGGCAAGTGAAGGAGGCTACCTGTAAGTCTGCTCATCATAACAACAGGAAAGGGATCAGGGATTACTGCAGAACGAGAATGACATGTAAAGCAAAGGGAAGCAGGGCTTTGTTACTGCATGCTGATAGAACATCTCTTCCATCAATGCCTGGAGTCCCTCATCAAGCCTCATCCTGCCAAGCATCACACATGCAGTCTCTGCATCAAGCCTGCAAGACTTTGAACTGAAAGATCTGAACTGAGCAGAAAGACCAACCCTTTATATTTTCCTAAGTCTTCAAACTCCAAGGAAAGATACAAAAGTCTCTCCACAACAATGTATTTCCTACAGCTAAAGATGTAAATACATAAAGAGATAATTTTCAGAAAGGAACAGGACCTGCAAACTACTTGCCCAAACAACGTGAATATGATCCAAGAACCAGTCATTAATCTAAGCAGATGCCTACAGTTACACAGGCTAGTAATGACCTAACTAGCACTTATAATGGAAATCCAAAGTGTTTTCAACCTTGCCTTTTCTAAAACACGGTTCTAAATGTGGACTGCCAAATTGGGTCAAGCCAACAAAACATTTTTTTCTGAAAACATGTAGAAAAGGAACTAAGTCATATTTAAGGAGAAGTATTTAAGTTAATACACTTTAACATCCATCATTGTGAATAAGCACAGAGAAAATATTTGGAATAGGCTACTGCAGCCTCAGAAACTTTAAACCTTATTTAAGCTGCTTTTAATAAACTTTACTGAGTCTGTAGAGAGAATTATATCACTCAGCTGTGCACAGTCTGCCTCAATTCATGCCATGGATTACGGTAATAATGCTATAATTATAATGATGGATGCACACAGATTTCTGGCTCTATATCCAACCTTTGAAAAGACACTGAAATAGTGATTGTATAAAGGACACTGGGCACCTAATGAGCACCAGCTACAAACAAGTCTCTCCACCAAGCCAAACAGAAAAAGAACAGCAATTGCTAACACACACATTAGTTACTGACCTGACCTCTCTGTATCCACATATCTTGTACCCATTGAAATATTTAAGCATTTTGAACACCAGGCCTTTCACAAGTCTACCGCAAGGTAGGCTTTCAGTAACTACCAGCACACATTTCTCTCACTATAACAAATTAACTTCTTTCTAAGAATCCAACACACACACATCTCCCTTTAAATTTGACAATCTCTTGATTGTCCTGACAATCTCTTCTAAAAAAAGCTTAGTATGTAATGGGTATTTTGGGACCTGCATATGTGATTTCCATATAATTATGGGCTAGAAAATTTCAGAAATTTTAGGAGTTGTAGGCTGAAAAAAGAGCCATAAATGTATAAAAGGAAGATGGGCGTGTGAAAAACCAGTGCTGCATACACATCTAAATGATTTTCCTCATCCAGCATACGGTGAGCTTTGACATCAAGTAACGAAACAACAGACTGACTCCAGTACTGAATGGAATCAATCCTGCCATCAATCTGCACACTGTGCTTGCTTCCTTCATCGTCCCCTGCTATTCCGAGGCAATTAAAGCAACCACCTAGACACAGGCAAGAAAGAAAGTAGCATCAACTCGCATCAACTCTTAATGCCCAATAGCATATTATCTGCTGAATCACAGACATGGCGATAAGATCTAAACTGTGCCACCGTTAAAACTGTGACATTTATCACATTGTGCTATCTATCTTTAAACACAGTATTTGTTGAAGCTCCTAAAATTAGAAGGGAACACACTGCAAATACCATGGTAACTACTTGGCATGGCAAATCAAGGTCCTTAAGGCTCCCACTTAGACTTACTGCTATTGTGACTGGAGTTATCCAAATGGCACCTAAGCATACTTACTACTTACCAAGCAGTAATGTTACCTTGGATTAAACTAAGAATAAAGTCAAGGGCTTACTCACTCAAAATAGCACCAAGATTTTTCTGACGTTAACGAGTAGTTCAAAACTACTTTAAAAATAATTTTGTTTTTACTGTACATTGTAAAGACAAAGCTGGGGTGATGTAAGCCCCATTTTAAAACACAAACAAATTTCAGTTTGCACAGACAGCTCCCCCCAAGCAGCTTAGGAATTAAAAAAAGGAAAAAGAGAGAAGATACAAGGTAAGAGCTTACATGTTAAAGGAAATAAAGATGTTTGAGGTTAAATGAGATCATCCAGACTCTTTAGAAAATGCTTGCTGGATTTGATGTCTCCATTTTGCTTTGTAACACGTTCAATGATAAATTGAGGGTATTGTTTACTTATTCAATAAAAGCAGGATAGAATAATACATTCTTCAGCATTCTGAGAGCAGTTGATACATAAAGAATTGTGCCTCCAGCCTTTGCTTTCAATTCAGACATGGATGCATTGCTCATCTTGAAAGCAGATAATCCCTTGACTTACTGCTACATTGATTTTCCAGAGCTGAAAGGGGAGACTGGTAGTGTCACAGCCAGTATCAGACAACTAACTATCTTTAACCTCAAACACCAATAGCAAATCACAGAAGTAAGTTATGGGAAGTTTACTTAGTCTTTTATACAAACTTTAGTCCTTTATATTACAAAGAATTTTGAAAGTATGTCTATTTGCCACACACAAAAGTCCCTGAGTTTAAGACTTCCCTTTCTCTTTAGCTTTCTCTAGAAACATCAATATAAAACTGTTCACAGAGCAAACAATTTATAAATACAGAAGACAGATGAGATGGACAGGTGTGCACTACATACATTGTTAAAGACATCAACCCTCCAGTCGCACACACACAATGAAATAAAAACCATTATACATTACAGATGATGTAGGAACACACACTGACAGAGAAGACATAGATCGTACAAACAGGCAAAATGGGGCTGAGAGTCATTGTAAGAGCACTTACAAGTAAAACTTCTCTTCCCATACAGGGTTCAGATTCCCAAAAATTGTTTTTGTCCTCTTCTTTGTTTTACCCACTTGAACGGTTACATACGGATCACTGGACCCAGTCTTGTCTTTGGCCTGCAGACCCTGAGCACACAGCACTGGAAGGAAAAAACAAGTGTTATCACCACCATGAAACAAGACAACGTGTCCACACATGAAACAGCACCAGTGGAACAGGAATATAATTTATGAGAGCTTTTCTGATGATCCGCAGCTCATGGTGCACTACAGTGTCTGGGTGAGGAGTATCTTCACCTGCTACCATACATGAAGCAGAAACAGACACAGGTCAGAAAAGCCCTTTCTTTCTGTTTTCTCTAGGTTCACACCAACTGTCTCCTATTTGTGGCTCCCAAGCAAGGCCAAGAGAACCCACGCATCCATCACTCACCTGTGATTGTGATCTTGGCTGACCATTTTGAGGTGCCATCAAGCACACTCTGCTTCACTGTCTTCATCTGCTGAGCATGTGTCAATTTGCTCTCACAGAACACATCTCTAATCAAGTCAAAGATCTCTGGCTTGTTCCGCTCCCGGATTTTCATGCGATCCTTCATTGCCATAATGAAATTCTGGGTTCGGTCTTCAGCTCCATGCTTTGAGCTCTTCTCTGCTGCTCCTGTGTACCAGAAAGCATGCAACACTCACCAGAAAGACAAACACCAAGTCATGTTTCACTGAATATGGATGGAAGATCAAGGCCATGAGTTACCCTCCTCATGATGGCTCTTGCTGTTGACTTTTGCAGTTAGAACCTCCCCATTCCAATATACACAGAAGAGAATCTGCACCACTCTGTGCTGGGAGGGTATAACGGAAGGGAAGTGCCCAGATCCTTCTATAACCTGGGACCAGGTTCCTCTCCTGACAACAGGCCTGAGTTTAATACCCTTGCATTAAGGGTATTAATGAGGAAGACCCAGAAATTAGGTTCTTTCTTAAGCAGCAGACATCAGCATGCTTCCTCTTCTTATCACCTTGCTTTGAATAAAACAATCCCTGCTTGGCAAGTGCTAAGAAGAAGACACTGGACCTTCAGTACAAATAGCAGCTATGAGCTTGTCTACTGCATCCCAGCACCATGGAAGAGCAGAAGTTCAGATGGGCCAACACGGTCGGCGTTTCCTACTGATGTGTGCCACATGACTCCCCATTCAGCAGAGAGTCACTGCACAATCTATGTCCAATTCTGCCTGGAACCACCCTGTTTGGATCAGTCACCAAGCCAGAGACATAATAGCTGTAACAAATAAATATAAGGTTGCAAATTCAATAGCTAAAAACTTTGGTCATCACAAGCACTAGTACAGCATCCAGCTGGAAACAGAAGAACAAAGCATAGGGTCTGTACTGTGTGGGTAGTCAACTGTATACGGAAAGAGGGAAGCCTCTGGTCACTAGCATACATCTCATAAAGTTCATATAGGTAGGATGTATGAATGCTCCTCCAATCAGTTACTCCCTACTCAATTCATACAGCCATGTTTGCTGTCCGAATTCAGCCACTGACAGCTAATGAAAGCACTGACATGAGCTAACAGGGCAGACAAACCTGGGTGTGAAATGAAAAGCAGGAACTCAAGATTGCACACAGTTTTTCTACATGCAGTCTGCAGCAATTCAAGCTATGACCTTAAATCAGATTAGTTAAACTAGTATAAGTGTTCCGTGAACACATTTGATCATAATATTTCTGTTTAGTTTCATATGCTTTTGCTTGTTTTTTCTTCTCTGGGATAATTTAATTAAAGTAAGCTTTTTCCTAGAAAAATTATCTCCATCCAGATGTTCAGCAAATATTAGATCACCTTAAAAATATGTACTGAAGCACGTGCAAGTGTGTACAAAGAGAGGCATCAATCACTAAGATATATAAAGCTGTTTTCTTCTGGAAGAAATGGGCAAATACACTATCTGCAGCACTTCTAATGTAAGTTTTGCATATGAAACAATTTCAGCAGGTAGTGACCAAATATGAATAAAGGTCTATGAACACAGATAAAGTACCCCCAGCAGCAGGACCTTGTTAGCAGGCTCAACAGGGTGCCCAGTGACTAATGGTGCCTGAAGACATTCATTTCTAGGGCCTTCAATTTAACACCTTTCACCGTTACTAAACTCACTTCAATAAAGAAACAAAACTCAATTATAACTTTCACCATCCAAACCAAAAGGAAAAAAATGCCACAGTTTGGAACAGGCTGTGACCGCTGAAGTTACAGAAGTTCATTAAGGACACTGCATACCCAGGCATGCTATTAAAGACCTGGGTATAAAACAAGCCGTAACTTCACATTACCTGATTATTTTTTTCATTTTACTTTTATTCTAAAGGCTTGATGTTCAGCATTTCATTTAGTACAATAAAATGTATCTGCCCCAGAGTTGCCTATTGTTGGCTTAAGATGAAACAAAAATATGGGAATTAATTACAGTGTCCCTGCTGTCTCTACTCAACGGCGATGAAGAACTAGCACCACCCAAAGTAATGTCTCATATCAGGCAATCATCCAGCTGTAGACCCAACATTTATTAAAGAAATAGGAAACTGAAATGATGCCAGAGGCTATACTTTGAACTTTAGATAAGAAGTGCTATTCAGCTTTAACAGAACTAGGTCTTCTAGGGATGGAGGTGGACTCTGAATTACACGCGGAACTACAGAAAATTGTTGGGAAATCAGGAAAGGCTAAGCTGAATAATGTGCCTTTCCTTGCTTGAATTCTGAAATCTGTCATGATCCAAATACACCAACTCTGCCCCGACCTTTCTGACTCTAAGGAAATTAACAACATGCCGAAATTCAAACATTAAGAGCTTATGGTTTTTATTCATGAGTAGAGTGCTCTACTTCAGCACCATTTTCTAAATAACTTACTAGACAAGCAGCTTGCAAATATAAATGTTTCATTGCTCATCACTGAGACGGAACAAGAGTTATCACAATTCTGGGATAACATGGTCTGCATTACTGCCTTAATGCATGCATTCCAGAAGCATCAAATGATGCTTTAGAACACAAACTTGGGCAAATGGAGGAATTCTAGTTAAAACCATATTTAACATCCCCACCACCACCCTGCAAGGCTAGCAGCAGTTCCCAGCATGAGAGGTTGCAGGATGTGTGAGCCATGTCACATAGACCCCAAGAGATTCCTTTCTTTATCTTCAGCTTTATTCCTTCTTTTTCTTCATCTCTAAGGTTTGGCTCTGTCTTCTGACTTTCAGAGGAAATCCCCCACCTCCATCCATCCTTCTCCCCCACTTTGCCCAGACAACTTGCACAGATAAGAAGGCTCCATTATTCCTTCCCTGGGGAAGGTCTCTCTCCTTGCAGAGTTGCACCTGAACTGAAGTGGAAGAGCCAGAATCAGACAGACACCTTAATTAGCAATACAGACTAATAAAGAACAGAGAAACTCTATGCATCAATAACACCCTCTTTCTTAATTTTAACACCTGCTTGTTGGTACAAAACCTCCAGAGATTCCAAAACATCCACTGGGAGACTAAATACCTATGATGTATGTGATATAAACCCAAAGTACATCACTATAATGGATGGCAGAGGGTGCTTTTCCTGCCACTGGACTTGGATCCTATTAATCCCACCACAAAAAGAGCAGTTTGGACAGCGTATCAGATTTTCTTGTAGTCCTGTAAATGGCAATACAAAGGCATGGGAACATAGAGGTACTGTGTACAGCATCATACAAATGGTACTGAGCTTTCCTTCTCTCTTCCCTAAGCCTGAATTATAAGTCAATATACGACTGGAAACAGAAAGCAAACATGTCTATATTGGGAATTGTATTGATATAGCTATTAGTAAACTACCAACGCTGGTATCCTGTGCTTTAACAGGAAAAAGTCAAGAAAGCAACACTGGCAGGATAGAAGGCAGCTGTTCAGTAGGCGGATAATGCTTAGAAATTATATATTCCTGAAACTTAAAATAGATATTCAAGTTTCAAATAAAGGTATCCTTCCTCCTTCTGTGCAAATATTTTCCTGCATAGGATTCTGGGAGCAAACAAGTGTTCATCACCATGGTGCCTCATCATCACTCAACACAGAAGCCAAGATGATTATCACAAGAGTGGCTTATTTGGTCTTAATAACAGTCCACTCATTGAGCCAGTCCCTGGATTGCAGTCTTTGAATTCAGAGTACCACACACACAAGTTTCTTACCCAAAAAGCAACAAACATACCTGACTTCCAGACTTGAGCCAAAAAGCACTGAACAACTTCAGAGGTGTACCAAGACTACAGGAGCCAAGACAGTACTGAAAGCAGGACATTCAGTAATGCAGCCCTAATAACTCGTGTGAAATGCTACAAGGTTTGTTGCTCCAGCACTGCATAAAGAAGCAGTAAGAAAGATATATGGCTAATCACACTCACAACACAGATTTCCTGTTCAACAGTAGTTTAAAGCTTGAGATCTCATTTCCTCATTGTTAAGATGTCTGGAGGACCAGACTCTGATATCCCAGGGCAGTTTCTTTTCTCAGGTTTAACTGTAATCTACCAGAGACTAGATTAGCAGCACTACAAAAAGAAACCAAGAAACACATGCAGAAGTGAATTACTGCATCTTTTCAAATGCTGGCCCAGAACTGTACAGGCCCCTTTTACTATGATCATGCTAGCATAATGTCCTTCCCTTCTACCTTCTTCATAATTCTGCTTATTTTTCTACATCTGTTCTTTGGTATCCAACACACCCATCTTCTGCTTTACTCTTCCTTTGACATGACCATTGCCAACCCATTGTATTTTAGTTAGTACTACACCAGTGCTCAGGGCAAGGGATAAGAGCTCTCTTTTTTCAACAGCTTTGTGTGCTGGACTTTAAAGACCATCCCACCATCCAGTTTCAACCAAGCAAGAACGGAAGTGCACCCACGCAGCAGAGGCTTTGAGTACTTCCAGGAATAGCAGGCGGCTAAAAAGGTGAGTATCCCATCATCAGATTAGTGTCTTCTAAGTACCTACATTAAAAAAACATCCTCAAAGAAACAACCTTGTACCCACAGAGCCATAAACCAGATGGCTGCAGTACACACGCCACAGCAGATTCCAGTTTACTGCACGTCAAGCACTGCCAATTCATGGAATTGCTGAATCAGTCTGCAAATGGATTTTGATTCAAAATTGCAACAAAGCATCGCTGAATTTGAGTGTTTCATCACTGAAGTCCCATACATTTGTTGACTGTATCAGATACCCAGTCTCTTCAAAATGTAGAGGTTAAGAAAAACACCCTCATAAGAAACAACGAGACATACTTGTAACAGAATTTGGAAAAGAGATACTTTTATCTCTCTCAGAAAAGGCACTGAAGGATAGAAGATGGATAAACAGCACATTCTGATTACAATGAACAAAATCCCAGGTGCCTGCCCAACATTTTAAGGCGTTACGACAGCAGTCCTTTATTTGTGAGCAGCCTGAAAATTCATTTACTCCAATGTAAGGTATTCTAGAAGATTTACGCAGACTGAAGTGAAGACATATCCTGGGGCATCAAGGTCTAATCAATAGATGTATTTGTTAACAGCCTGAAAATTCCTTTTATTCCAATGTAGTATTTTGTGGAAGCCTTAAATAGACCTAAGTGAAGATGTCCTGAGAATGTTGTGTGGTTTTTTCTTACTGACAGCAACAATAAAGCTTCTGTTAGGAAAAAATCCCTGCTGAGTTCAGTATACTGAATTTATTGGATGTCTAAACTGTTGCTTGTTCCCCAGAAACCCTGTTTCTCATTCCTCAAGTACAGCCTATGTCCTCAAAACATATAAAAATTAAATTAGTTTTTCCATTTTCTTCTGGCCTGGTTAGAAGGATTTTAGCATGAGCATGCCAACGCAAAGAACACAGTTGCCTGAAAATCCCTTTTAACAGATTTCTAGTATCAATAACATGTTTTTCCAGCCCAGAAATACATCCACATATTGGCTCCACCATCATCTTAATTTCCCAGCACTATCTTTCCTCTGCTCTCTCTGTCTTTTGATTACCCAGCTACCACCTTCAGTTACCTCGACATCTCTACCCCAGATAATGATACCCACCACACTTACTTTAGGTACCCCACAGACCCCTGGCTCACAGCCCCTGTATCTTCCCTGTTCTGATGGTGGGCAGTTTAAAATAACACAGTAAGTAAAGTTTTTGTTCGGTTTTTGTTTGGTTTTTGCATGCTTCACAAATTTTGAGCCCAGTGTACTCTCAGTTGTTTCCTCTCCATTTCTCTAACTCTGGACACTGAAGTATCTTGTGTTTTCATTTTGAAAGGGAATGTGCAAAGCAAACATCTGCAATCCCATGAATCAAAACCCAAGTTCTTATCTAATACTTTACTATATAGAGAAATAGAGTAATTTCCAGTTGTTACTTCTGTTCCATAGAAAAGTGCCTACTTCTGCCATCATCACATCCCACAGCCCATTGCATAAGTTTATGTAATTCCAACCAGAGACTAGAAAACCTGCCCCCATGGTTATTCTTCACAGGCTGTTCCAGAAACTCTCTGTTCCCATCACTGAAGTTGTCTTCTACTTTCACCTTTAATTTTTTACAGCAAATTTATTCCACTTTTTTCTTCTGTAAACAGTAAGCTCAAACATACCATTTTCCTCCCTGCTGCTCACCTCTCTCTTTCCCAACATGGTTCAGGCATAAACAGGTTCAAACAAGGATTAAACCAATTCACAGAGCCATCACTGCCAGCTGTTCAACATAGGAACTACTGCTCAGAAAGACTTTAGGCCATGGATAGCTGTAAGCCAGTATACGCCAGAGTCATATGAGCTACACACACACATCTTACACCTTGGCCTTGGGCTCCACAATATCCCTTTAGAAATACTCTACTGGGACAGACCTGATAGGACTATTTTCTGTTTGTATTTTTCTGAAGCAGCATCATTCCTGTCCTTCTGTTCCATGTTGCCAAGCCTCTCTTTTGGAAGATTAACAAAACTCATACTATCCTCTCTCAAGACATTCTCATATTTTTCCCGTTACCATTGAACTTTCTCCAGTACCCATCCACATCTGACATCTCCCTTCTTGAACATGGATCACCACAGTTGTCCTCTGCAGGAATATAGTTTCTCTTAGTCATTAGCTACTTCTTAAATTCAGTTTTTCTTCTATTGTTTTCAACTTCATGACCTCTGCTCTGTGCAACAGCTTGGTGGCTGTTTCCTCACTGCTGCTGCTGGTGCAAACCAAATATTCCTCTGCTCTCCATAGGATTTTCCCCATACTGAGATAACACAACTCCATTTCAGTATTGTAACAGCATGGACATGCATGCCTGGATGTACATGTCAACAGTTTTTCATCTCAAATACTGAAAATCACCAGTTAGCAGAGGGTTCTGGTAAAATCCAGAAACAAATAAAGTTATCCTCAGCCTAACTAACTGATCCTCTTCATCAAATTGTGTCAAAAAAATGAGTTATGACTTAACTACAACCTTCTGAACCAAATGCAACACAGCAGCCCTTTGCTTACTCATAAAAAGGTTGCAACAAAGCAAAAGTGTCAATGATGCAATTGCCTGAATGCTATAAACTGTAAAGATCACCTTGGAACCCTCAAAGACAAATCCAGAAACACTGAGCAACTGAGGAACAGAGATTTTTCACCAGTATCAGTTGTGTCTGACAAGTAAGCCACTGCAAATAGCCCCTAACTATGACTGATTTAAAACTCTGTTCATATCAAAAATACAAGCATAAAAATGCCCATTTGGGATTTTAAGATAAGCCATAAGAAAAAAACACAGGTATCCCCTTGCTGGATCATCCAGCCTGGTTTTCCTGAACAGCTACAGCCTGAGGCAGATACAGGATCTGACTGTTTATATTCCCGTAATTGCTGACATAGATTTGCAATAAATCTGTTTGTACTTCACAAACTTTTCTGATTTCTTAGGCATAGTCCATCAAGCTATAATGCTAAGAAAATCCATAGTGAACAGAAACAGCCCCACATTCCTACTCAAGATTTAACACATATGGCAGAAATTTATATTCCATTTAGACTGAGATATTTTGCTCTCAAGCAAGAACATGAATTTGAGACCAAATTAAGAAACTTTTCTCAAGAAAATAAAAGTAACTGGGCCAACCAGATGCCTAAATTAATAATTTTTCCCTCTTTTTTTTTTCTTTAATCAAATTCCTTTTAAATTTCTCCATTGTTTGTGTAAGGTCTCATTCATTCTGCAAAGTTCCAGCTCTTTGAAGAGCTCTTCCGTAAAGAAAGGGTTTAAGTGTTGAACACTGCAGGAAAAAAAACCCAATGAAATAAACAGAAAATCTAGTATAAAGATAAAATACTGTCCATATGCTCAAACAACACCTTCCTATCTGTCCCAGCACCTCTGCTGACTCAGACCCAGGTCTATAAAGTGATTCAGCCATGAGACCTTGCTGTTAAAAAAAAAAAAAAAGCCTTCCCAACCTGCATTTGCTACAGAGAATCCAAGCTAAGTCCATGGACTCTATCCCCTAACCAGGAAACCAGTGCTGCTCTTCAGAGCTTAGAACAGTGTAATAGATGCATGGCTGAAACAAGCAACCTGACCAGGATACCAGGGCAGGAGGGACAGAACAGAAGTCAAAGTATCCAGCCTAGTACCCTGTTCACTCACTGCCTCTCTTCCAGGCAGGTTATGTTAGCAAACACACCACTTGAGCTGACACAGAGAGATTAAAAGTTATATGGCTTAAAACAAAGAGAGAGTGAAAAGTCAAGAAATTAAACCTTCTTTTAAAGCACACCAAGCATGATGTTGTAAAGAAGTTCTTCTCCATCAGTGGAGCTGCCTGTGTCCACAGGGCAGTGGGGGTAGGTTTAACCCAATGACATCTTTTGAGAAAATACACAGTCATTTGAACAAATGCAGCTTCTCTTATCACTGAGGGATCACTTATGCTCTGGTCCCACTTTTGGAACAGCCGCGCTCCACTGGACACTACTCACTCTGTAAGCAGTCAGCATTGAGCAAGTCTTGGCACTTCTCATGGCACTTGACTCCACATTCTCCGCAGCGCATTCCCTGCCGTGCAATACCCCACAGCAGCCCCTCACATTCATAGCAGTAGGTAGGTGTTGTGGCTGTCCACACTTCAAAGTTGTGCGGGGTTGTACAAGAGATGGGGTAAATTAAGGCTTGCAAGGTCTTCTTATAGACATGAGATTTCTGAAAGGCAAGGGCACACATAAAACACCATCCAGGAATGCTACTGAACCTATTTGTGCTGGTTAACGCAGGAGTTACAAAGGGAAAGTCATGAGCAGTGCAATAAATCTACACACTTGAGAAAGCCAAATTTATCAAACTTTTACAAGCAGCAGCAGAGGACACCCTTCCAAAAATGTTCCTCCAGGTATTTAAAAAAGTGGAGGAAATAGAAGAGAAGAATTAATGTTTGTGGATAAGGAATATTTTGCATAAAGTAAGTTTCACTCACTGTCCTCCATGGTAGATACTGCAGAAGGAAATAGTAAGTTTACATTTTTCAGGATCATACTGAGACAGTAAATGTTATTTTTTACAATGTTTGGTTTCTTTAAACAAATGATACAAGAAGCTTTGCATCTATATTTTTAGACACCTATGAAGCTGGCTCTGCATCCCAGAGTGCCACATTCCCTCAATTTGCTTACTAAAAGTTAACAGGAGCCAAGCAATTCTCCCACTTACCAGCTCTTCGTCTTTGAGAGATGTTCTAGTGGCCATTGCTGAGGTAATTCCAGCTTTCCGGGACTGAACCAGTGACTAAGAAGGAAGAAAGTTCGTTATTCACCACTGGTATTCAGAAGTGCACTGGCAATACATGCCCAGGGACATGACCAAAGGGACTCTGTCACACCAGACACCAAACCATTAGTCTATCACATTTAAGATGGTTTCTTAAATGACAGCTCACATCTTGGAAGAGTCGAGCGCATACTCTGAAAGGTCTCCAACTTGCTTCCACCTGCCCACAACCACCAACAGTTGCCAACAACATCATTCACACTCAGGTAGAATTTTGTTTTTCTCTGTTAAGAACAGTTAATGAAACCTGGGTTCATATCTCCACTTCTATGTTCTGGTAGCAGTGGTAGTTCTGTTACTGACTAAGGTCACTGCATGGTGCTCCCTCTTCTATATCTAACTTCATTTATATCCAAAAGGAGACTATTTCATCAGTTTTACAGCACACACAACACTCCCAAACATGACAGTGAAAGGGTTACAAATATACAGGGTAACAACAGAACAGAGTGTGTTGGGAGCACAGGTTTTGAATGTGCTGGTGTATCACATTCATTGGCCATCACTGAACACAATGAACAGCATTTTCCCCTCAAAACTGCCTCTTTCACATCATGCCACCATGAAGTTCTGCAGCCGTGGACAGCACAGGGAAGTGCCCTCAAAGCACCTCACACTGGCATATAAACAATTTCTTCAGCAAGCCATTCTGGTTTGATGAAGGCAGAGAAGGAAATTCAAGCTAGTAACGTCTGCTTTGAAATCATCTAACCCTATCAGAAACCTTTGTTTATGCTCTGCTTTACGCTGTTCGAAGACAGACAGCAAAAGTTCATTTGATCAGTGATGGGCAGAACAGAGTGCTAAGATATACATGCACTGCAATACTGCAGGTACAAAATAAAAAGCAAAGAAATGCAGGGAAAATAAGGTAAAACGATTTTTGTTCTGGTGAAGACTTGGTGGATAGTTTTTAGCTCCACTTACCATGGCCTGTGGAGAGAGAGAATGAAAGCATACAAAGGAAGTAACACAAGTTAATGCCATTATTGCAAAGACTTAAGATACAACCAGTTGGTAAGACATGTATTCATTTTCCCATGCGTAAGCTGGCAGAAAGAACTGCATGCACCTTTTCACATGAATTACAAGATATAGAAACTTTGGTCTTTGAGCTGTTACAGCATTTCTCTCACGTATGAAATTGCTACGTGTTGCTACGTGTACTGAACACAGCCAACAGAAAACCATTTGTCCCACAGAAGCCTTATTTCACCGCATCGCATAAGCATATGAAACTTGTCCTCATTACTCGCTTGGTTCTTTTGCTTCCTCAGTGCAGAAGCTTACTGGCAATACTGCAAATAGCTTTAAAAATTCAAGCACATATGGTCGTTTATCTATCCTCTGAAATTCCAACCTTCTGGTAAGTTGACAAACCTCACATGGACATTAGAAATTTCACTAAAGTATGTGATTTTTAGGAAAACATTTTAAAATAACACAGCCCTAAAAATAATCAAATATTCTGTGCAGAATAAAAAGAACATGAAAAATATCTTAATTCTGCCAAATGAATGAAACTGTCTACAAAACCGTAGCTTGTTCTGAGTTCTTTCCAAGACCAAGTTCTAAGTCTTTAGTGTAAGAATTAGTTGAACAAAACAGGAAACCTTCAGCTTCTTAAATGACAATGAATGTTACCATATGTTGAAATTGGTTGTGTGGCTAAAGAAAAACAAATATCTTACCAGATCACTGACAAGTGGAATTGGCTTTTTTTTGCGCAGATCAGGCATGCTATCGATGCCATAGAGACCACCTGCAGGCCTGGAAATTCAGGAGAAGGAAAAAAAGATTAAAATTCTCACCAGTAGTGAGAGACAGTAAAGAGATGACAAAAGAGTTTCCTCAAAAACATCAGTCTCCTTGATAATATCATAGGCAATGAGAACGGGAAGAATCAGTTCACTGCAAATGCAATTTGAAAATAAACCAAAGTTGTTAACACACCTGAAAAAACTTGTTTTCCTATTTTCACTTCTGAGGTCTGAGCTAGGTCAGAGTAGGCCGGGCATGTGCTTGCAGACCACCAGTTCTTCAGAGTTACAGATCTGGCAAAAATACTTACCTAATGGCAGAACCAGAGCTCCCTGGCAGCAATTCACATGCAGCTTAGTCTGTGGTAACTGAGCTGCACACCTCTGCTTTCAAAAGAATGTTTTGTTTCTTAGGGAGAGCTCAGTTTATAGTTTACTACTGGCATTGAGTGCCATGGCAGGACAGATGTTGGCAATTTGAAAACACCCTGTCTCCAGTCTTTCTCCATCCCCTTTCTTTCCATTCAATTAATTTAGGGTTCTAGGCTGAGGAAGGACATGCTTTACTGGAGTAAGTAAAATAAACCAGAAGATAACACTTAAGAAAGTGTAAAGTTAATGCTAAAAACTATTGTTTATCATCTTCTTCACACACCACAGTCCAGATGTTCCTGCCTGTTATTGGTGGTTGGGAAGGGAGCATGCCAAAGTGATCAGCCCAGAGTGGAAGGATGTTGCTATCTATCATTTAACTCTAGGCTAGAACATTCTAGGCTTAATCCTGGCCTTCGAGGTCCATACAATTATTAGGAAAAGCCTCACATCTAAGGATAAAGGAGATTATTTTTATTTCTATAAAAGGGACCAATTGCAGTGCTTAAGCCAATGCAGACTCCTTCACAAAAAAGCTGTCATTTGCTGGTGGATGTGGTGGTGGAGCAAAAGGGTATTATCTCAGCAACACTCAGAACCTGCTAAAATAAAACACTATAACCTTCTGACATGATCAACCTAGATAACTGTATCTAGATCCTGCCATTCACTGCTAACACCACAAGGATTTAAGCTTATGCTTGAAGAAGATCTGTTACTTCAGCTCGAAGACCTCCAGTAAATCATAGAACACCAGGTTGGAAGGGACCTCAAGGAGCATCTTGTCCAATGTTTACATGCAAAACATGACCAAGACTAGATGTCCCAGCCAAACCTCAAAAGTCTTTAATGTTGGGGAATCCACCACTTCCCTAGGGAAACTATTCCAATGGCCAATTGTTTTCAATGGGAAAACTTTTCTTCTTGTGTGCAGTTGTAACCTCCCCCAGATCAACCTCCCATCTCCACATTGCTTTCATGCCTTGCTAACACTAAGAATATGGTTCCCAAGGCCTTTTTCTTGGCTACAGAGACTGTAAAGTAACCTTCTGCTTCTATCCTTACCCACTCGTTTTCACCCATATCATGCTGGCTTACACCTTTTTGCAGCTGTGTGATAAAATGGCTCTTTTAACCTCAATGTTCTGCTGATTTGGTACACACACCCAGCTAAATGCTTTAGGACACCACAACTACAGGAAGGAGGAGTATGGGACAAGCTGTTCTTATTGCAATAAAAGACACACATGGAACTACCCTTTAAATCAATTTAGGAAACCAAATTGCCTCTACAAATTTGCACATCATAAAAACTGGGAGGCTGGTAAGTGACAAGAGGCAACTTGTACTCCTCAGCAAGCAGCACCTACTCAAACCCTCTCTGAATACAGCCAGAAGTCAAAAAAACCCTACTCAGGATGACCAAACCTATGTTATAGCAGACCATGCTCTAGGGTGGGCAAGGATGTCAGGGCACAGCCTAGCACATGAGAGGGAAACAGTCTTATATACAGAAACATGTCATAGAGCTAGAATGGTAAAGTGATTTTCTTGTAGGAGAGTAACATGTCTGAGACTCATCTGAGCTGATAGCTGCTGCTGGCTGAAGCCTGGTGGATCTTGGTGGGAAGGTGATCAGTCACACCTAACTGCATGAACAGCATCAGCTCTCTGTGCACCGAGTCTCATCTGCACCATGCTTGCCTCTCCATGCTCCTACACGGTGAACACAAGCCTCCCGCAGTCAGCTGGCACAGCTGGGGATGGAAGGCAAACTTGGACATGAGGAAGGTGGAGATTTGCAGCAGTTAATGACAACTATTGGAATCTTTGGCCAAGAATTAGAGTTTTCCAATGCTGGAAATCCTCACAGCAAGGCTACGCAGTGTTTTTACTAAAGGCTACCCTTATTTCCAATAGCGAATTGCAATAATCGCTTCTGATTTATTACAGAAAGCATAGGCAAAATACAAAGGCAGAGTCTGTAAGCTGAAAAGATGCAAAAAGATGGTCACAAGCAAAAATCTGGCTCCTGACAGAAGTCAATGGCACAGCTGGGAATTTATACTTCTTTTCCAGTGACTTTTGTTTGTTTGTTTGTTTTATCCTAATTCAGTTGAAAGGCACCTGTGATATTCTGACATTTCCAAGGAAAGGAAAACATATAAATTGCATGGTCTATAAATTCGAGATAAGCCTGAACAACTTATCGTGCTTGAGAAATATGTCTAGTTAGATGTCTGGCTTGTTGCAAAATATTTCAGATAGACGAGTTTTATGATAGAACCAGCTGTAAGCCAGAATGTTAGAGAACAAGCACATTTGAAAGATGCTTGTATTCACTTACTGTATCCTAGTACCCATGTAGTTTTAACTCAGATGACCTGCTTTTAGCTTCTTAATATCAAAACCAAAACGAATTCTCAGCAACAATTCTTAATATTCAAATTTATTCAAAATAAAATTATATTTTATGTATAATATTCAAAATTATTCTGCCTATGCTTTCAGCTACCTCAGTCTCTTTATTCAAACACAATTTCTACTTTGCTTAACAAAACTGGGAGTGTTTGCACAGACAGAAGTACTGACAGTGCCTCAAATATGCAGACTGGAGCTTTATACGTAATAGGGTAACTCTCCTCTGCAATGCATGTAATATTTATAGCATTATTATGGAGTGCTGTATTGAAGAGTGAATAGCATTTCTGTATGAAAACATGATTTGCACTAATAAATAAAATATACAAATATGAGATAGATACTACATCCAGATACTGATCAGTAATACCAACTATACTTGGTTTTGAAGCTATCTCTCCAAAGCCAGCAACTATAGACAGGGAACTACCGTTGCATTGTGCTAAAAGTGAAAATAGCTTGAAGCATGTATTCATCTTTTAATGCAAGTTTTATCATTAAATTTTGAATATTTAAGAAAGCAAAGGAAGTTTGCAATGACAGAAGATGATTACTTCCTTCAAAGGATACTCTCTAATCTTCATATGAAAGAGAACACCAAACGTAAATGCTTTAATGTACTTCGTGGATAATAAGCCACAATGTAGCTAATGGTGCAATTAAAGGTTCACCACCCACAACCACCTCCTCTGTAAACCCCCTGCATGCGCTGATACAGCAAATAAGCTGAACTTCTGTCAAAACTACATTAGCCAGACTGCTTTATCTCACACAGAAAGGGAAAATTACCAGACTAGAGCAAATCTTGCCTTGAACTGACAAAACACATTTTTAAGTATTTCAGCACTGCACGTGTATTCATCTTTCAGGCTGGGAAATCATTCTGTGTGCGTGAACCAATAAACTCAGTACACTGGCTCCTCATTAAAGCCGAGGAAGGTGCTGTTGATAGTTAGAATAAATTACTGTCTTCTGTCTCTGCTAATTGCAAGTTCTCCAGGAACCTGTTCACAGAAGTCCCAGGCTCCTTAGGAAAGCATGGGGTTGCTAGGCAGCTCCAGGCATCCGCAGGTGTGGAGGATGCTTAGTGGGAATACCAACATCTCATAGAACAATGACTCCAAAAGCAGAAAGCCGTATAATGAAGCCTCTGATTTAACTTTGCATTTTATCAAGGAAGCTTCCTTCAGTAGTTTGAGAATTAACTTATGCATGTAGCAAGCCAACCTCTTGCTGAGATTCCAGGGCAATTCTGCTGCTGCATCAGCTCCTAATGAGTGCACCACCACCAAACCGTATCACCCTCATTGTGTACAAGGCACATAACCTAGCAGCCTGTAAAATGTGTCACCGTCTTTTTTTATCAGAGAGGATTCTAGGGAAGGAAGCTCCCATGCTGGCACCTATTATGCAGAGTGTCATGGTGAAATTACAATCAGAATTTGTCTGCTTCATTTGCTGCGAGTAGCGTGTTGCAGAGACAACGCACAGCCTCTCACTCTCACCTGTGCAAAAGAGGCATGATGATCACTGCAGTGATTGCCAGACTTACTGATGTTTTGACTACTACAATGACCACATAAATCACTGCAAAGACAGAAGACTTCCCCAAAGCTACTTTAGTCTTCTAGAAAGACACAGCAATATTTCTGAGCTACTCTCTCCCTTCCCTGTAGCCAATACTGACTTATTTAGGAAAAAGGATTTCATCCAGACCACCCTGTGGTGCTCAGTAAGGATTATTTAATACTGCTGCCATGTTTAAGATTAAACATAACACATTCTTAAACACAGATCTCTTAAAGAGCTGTGCAGCCCACCTCCAGCTGTTTAAGAGGAGACTCTGAAATATAGCAGCAGCCTGACCCTAAGTGAGGCATGGCCACCTGATTAATCCTGAAATCAGCCATTAAAAACATCTTTTACTTAGATTGAACCACAGACGTCAAAGTACACTGTGGTAATTAACACAGAGAAACAAGGTCCCAAAATACCACTTACCCTCCTTTGAGCCAGGGTGGTTTTGATGGATCAGCCTCATCTTGACCCTTAAGTGGGCAAAAGGAAAAAAACAATATGAAATTAGTTTCTGAAAACCCCAGGGGAAGTGTTCAGATTATATTCTGAGGAAAGGATAACAGACCACGCTGCATGCAGGCAAATGCATACAGAAACTTATTCAAGCACCTCCGATGACCAACATGTCAGGGTAAGTCATACAGACAAAGACAGGCTATGCAATTTCACTGAACACCCAAGACTGGAACCTGAAGAGCCTGTTCAGTGCACCTCCTCTTCCAAAAGACCAACTTTTGGGGTTTTTTTCAAACCGAACAAAACCATGAACTGTTTGAGAGCGTCTGTTATTACAGCTCACCACTTAAGTGAGCATGGTAATAATGAAGATGTTATGAATTAAAAGCAACTGTATGAAATGCACAAATGACTGACCAACATGAAACTTTGTACAGACACTGGTGAGCTTTGTTCGTGCTCAAATGCAAAGACTCGTCAGCCCCCTAAGCAGGAAGGTCCCATTGCACCTCTACACATCCATATGCAAGATGTGTGAAACAAGGGCCATTGCTTGCAAGATGATTGCAGGTGAATTGGGATCTCACAGTATAACGGAAAACACCACAGTCTGCAAGTATGAGGATTTATATTCATGAATTTAAATGTTCTATGTTCATATTCATAACAATATTATGTTCATTTGTTTACAGAATGATGTTTTGTTTCTTCAAAAACATTCAGTGCTGAGAAGTGCTTAAACAATTGCAAAATGCCTGGAGGAAACAGAAGGTTTTGAGTAAGGGGAAGATGGTTTACCTATAACCAGAAACGTCTTTGTTCCAGGTTACAGTTTATAAATTCTCCTGCACTCCCTGAAATAAAAGCTGTTTTCAAACGGGACTGAGCAAGACACACTGCTAAAAGCTAACACCCCGACCTCAGATAATCATGTCTGCCAACAGTATGAAAAGACAGCAAGTTGCATACAGTGAAAAACACTGAGAATTGTAACATAAGAAAGGGGTATGGGTCAGGAAATAAGCTCCAGCTTATGCAAGATAAAAGAACAAAACAAAAGTTTCTATTTGATGTCTCAATTTGTACAGCAGCAGAAGTCCAAACTTTTAATTTGTTAGTTCTAAAACTCCAGGTCTAGGCAGATCTGAAGACTATTTAGTTTTTATTATTTTAAACAGGTATGAACAACTTGCCATTATCTGTAGTTGAATGGACACTCCAGCTTTTCTACATGATCACACAGGAGTCCAGACTCATGGTCCAGCACAGCCAGAGCAGCACACCAGGGCTAGGCTCTACCCATCTCCATTCCAAGCTGTGCTTCCAAAACCCCTTAGCCTGAAAGCTGCATTTCTCCCAGAGGGATCTGAATCAACTGCTGGTCAAGAGGGAAGATTTCATGAAGTAAATGCAATCAGACCCTTCAGAGCACACAAAGGAGGACATCTCTACCTTCACCTTTGAACACTTGGAAGAGCTGCGGCTAGAAAGCAATCCTAAAATGGAACAACATTTTATACTGGACTGAGCTCAACACCAGTCAGTTCAGCTATACTCAATGACAGGGAATAACAAATACAAACACGGCAACATTTACTAGCGAAAGCAATTAGTGTTACAGGGGTTTTAATCAGTTTATCTGAGAAACTCTAAGTATAAGCAACCAATATTTGAGACAAGTATCACAAGTAGCATGGGCCACACTGCAGCCTAGAGACAAGAGCATCAAGAGCTCTGTTCAAGAGACGAAGATCCAGGGAAAGTTGTTTAACTAACTGAGCAATAACCATTTCCTACAGGCAACCATGAGTCAATGGAGAACAGCTGGGAGTGTGGATGAAAGAAAGGGCAGAAAACATGATCAGGAAACAAACCTCCATCATCTCCCAGATTCTGAGACATGCCAAGTAAAACTTGCTGAGAGTCCAGATAAGCTGTATTTGTGCTCATTTAATTACTTTTGCCAAGCCTTTTAGACCTATAAATAAAAAGAAAACAAGAGAAGAGAAAGAGCTTCTCTAGGGTACAACAGCACAACCCAAAAGAGCGAGCTTTCAGTAGGTGATAGCATTGATGCAGGAGCAACGGAGGTGATGGTTGTGTGTGAACAGGAGTTATCACCTGCTGAAAAGTAAAGAGGTAATTTGCCCCAGGCAGCATCCTCCCTCAGAAAATGCCAAGAGAAGCAGCACCTGACTTCCATCAAAGGAGGACTGATGCTCTGAGACTTTAGAAAAGCCAGTGCAGCACCCACAGTTAAGGTGTGGGGGAAGGAGGGAAATGTGATCTAGACTAGTGTAGGCTCATTATTGGCTTCAGCAGCTTGAAAGGCTTTAGAACAAACATGAAGGAAAGAACTAACATGGAGGCAATTGGAAAATAGGAAAAAAATGTAATACATGGCACATCAGTTTTGAAAACATGGGGGTTTTCTTCAACAAAGAAACTATTTTTCTCTACACTGTAAAATGAATTATCAACTGAATTTTCATTTCAACAAAAAACTTTTGATGCAATGCCATATGACGTTAATAAGGCCGGATAAGATGAGAAGGAGTGGGGAGCTTTAGGGTGGATAAACAAGTAACTGTAACTGAGCCAGCCACGGACAACGCAATAAGGATGCTAGTGGGAGTAAGCAGGATCTGCTGATAAAATCTGCTGATGACAAACACAGGAGAATTATTGATACATAACTCAGATGGTGAGTGGAAAGAACTGATGGCAGCAAAGATTGCAACAACAGAGGATTAAACATGGTAGAAATGGCAAGGTCAGAGCCTCAATGCCTGTTGTGAATTTGACCACACAGGAGGTGTCCCTCAGTGTAGAAAAGCACATAACAATGAACTTTACTTCTAGTCATCACACTGGCATTGAGCCACTATGATACGTGAGCCATGTAAAGAGAGAACACAATGCACAGAGTATGTCTAGTGGAATGTCTCTATAGAAGTAAACCCATAAATGCCTCTGTAATGTGCTGGCAAAACTCCTTTGGAAAGGTATATACGATCTTTTTATTCTGCATCAAGGTAAAAAGAATTCACAAAGGAAAGTGGCAAAGCAGCATGAGGATGTAAATGCAATACTATAGGTGTAGACCCGGACAGCTTGCTTACTCCAGCAAAAGGAACTTTTTTCTGTATTTATTCAACAGACAGGAGAATATATTGTATGGAAGAACTGCAGCTAAATACAAATGGAGGATGAAAATTCAAAGGTGTCTCACCATGATAGCCTAGTAGTAGCCTTTCAAAAAGAGAAGTAGACACCAAACCCAACCAGTTTTAAAGAAGGAAGCTGGGCAGTTTATACATGAGGTAGTGGCACATATCACAGTGGCAGAGGGCTGGCAGTCACCAAGAAGTCCTCTGCAGGCCCTTGCTGCACCAATTCATGTAGTCAAAGAACCAGAGGCTGAATTACCTACAAGTGTTGGCACAAGTGTTAACAGGGTCCAGACACCTCTCTGAGTGACAGTTTGACAAAATAATCCATAGTTTACACCACTGTTGTGGGTAGAAACACCGCGTGTATCCCTATTCATTTAAAGAAGGCAAATGGCAATGCTGTTCAGATGGATTTGCTGCAGCTGAGAAGCTCTCCACCTTCTGAAGGCAGGACCCAGGAGGGCTCTAGTACGCGCTCTGGATCTTGTCATCAGCCATGGATCTGCTTAAGTTCAGACCCTGACAGCAGCATGGCTCACTCAGAGCCTGGGCAAGCAAACAACAGGCAGATGAGAACAACACTGGAGCAACTGTGAGAGTTTTGACCACTGTCCTTCCCGAAACAAATGGGAGGGCAAAGGGAAAGCAGACACATTTAACACCTAGGCGTCCACATGCTGTATGCCACAGGAAGTGTTTTGCTGGTTTATGCTTGGTTTCTCTGCACAGACCTGTCACTTGATCTCCCCTTGAAAGCACCCAGACCAGTCTGAATCTGAAACTAATTTTTTGATCTTAATTTTAATCTTAATTTTTAGTAAGTAAGCACACAAAGCAGCACTGATAAGATGGAGAAGCGAACATGTAAACAAAATAGTCCATCACATCACTATTCAATTTTGTTGATTAATTTCTGATGCTGATGGATGACAGTTTTCACCTACTGTCCAACAAATACCTTCAGCTGGGAAAATGCTTGTCACCCTAATAATGCAGTATATCCAGTCACAGTAAAGCATGCTGCAATGAGTGGCTGAAAGGCCTTCTCCAAGTAATTAAAGTTTCTTATCAGGAAAGAACCAGTTAGCAAAATAATGCCTGTGACAAAGTAGCAAAGATTAATACCCTGGATTAAACAAGTCAACAGATATGATCATTTAAAGCACAGTATTCAGTGACAGAGAAGGCAATGTTTGGTGAAGACTGAAAATGAAACAAATAGAAGTTTTTACTTACTCAGGAAAAGCAGCAGCTAGGCTTACAAATAATTTGAGAAGTTATTTAACCAAGCTGCAATTTGTAAATTTCACAGTTTATCTCATACATAAGATGTTTTAATGTGCATAAAATGGACTGAGGCATAAAATAAATAAACGAATAAACAAATCACCAAGTCTGGAGCAGCACAAGAAAAAGGAAGAACATCCTCAGCTCTGTTAGCCCTCTCCTCACAATGTAACTTCCCATCGCATTTAAGTACTGTGTTGAGCACATTATCCTCTTAGATAAAAAACAGATGTAAACCATGCAAAGCTGATTTGTTTAAACAGATAAGAAAATACTAATAATGATTTTTTATTTGTTTTGAAAATCATCCTAGCTTGTTTACAGATACCATGCTTCATTATTAAACCTCAAAGGCCTCAATTTAGCTATAGATTAATCTGAATCAGCCTAAAACAAGGAGCAACTGTTTCACTGTCTAAATTAAACTTCTGGTCATGCCTAATTAGACCATTTCTTCAGGGGTAGCAGCAGAATTAGTCTGAACTGAATCATCCCAATTAGACTAGTCAGTCTTGTAGTTCAATGTCTTCATTGACCGAGTATACTGTTTTACA